AGCTGCATATTTACTGTACTCTTCCTGCTTGGGCCCAGTCACATATAGCGAATCAGAAGGAGGGAACTCAGGGGTTCCTTTCGTTTGAAGTATGTACCCGCAATCTGGGGAAAATACAACAGCAGACATGACCATAAGAGGAGGATCTGGGATAGGCGCTCCCATAGGATATCTGAGCTCTTGCTCCATACGCTCCAATAACAATCGGTCAGCAGGGGCATCCTCGAGCATAACTGGATGCTGCTGCAAGTAGATGATATGTTCACATTTAGGTGCAGGGAACTCCATCTGCTCTGTTCCTGCTAGAGAGGACCAGGGGAACAGTGTTGGTGGTCGATTTTGCTTCTCCGAGATGGTGTCTGACAGCGACTTTAGAAGAAGCTCATGGGAGAGTTCGTAAGTGTCAGAAGATAGCATGAAATGTGGCAACGAGAAGATGCCGCCAAATTTCTCACTAGACGTAGTCAAAACGATACTTCCGGTGTCTGGGAAGTGGACACCAAACAACGAGATGTACCAGGTACTCCCCAGAAGTCCTCGCTCTCGACCGTCAAACTGGCTCGCATCTCTCTCAAAAGTCCGTCGCCCATCTGAATCTCTTCACCACCTCCCTCTTCAAGATCAAAGTAAAAGGTGCCCCCATTGCCAGTAATATTATGGCTGAATTCGTGGGTGAAGTATTCGTGTTCTTCGGCGATGGCTGTCGTGTTCAGAGGCTCACGGCGCTCAGCACCTTCAGTTCGTCGAACCCAGTCCCCCCGAAGCTTTCCTGTCGAGTTGCGATATACTGGCAGCAGGACCTTGGTCAAGTTCAACGTAGGCGAGATGGCGGGGTGTTCTAGACCATCCGGGGGTTCTAATCCGGCATTTAAGACCGCTGATTGTAACTGGTGGCGAGCCAGGCCTTTGACCTGAGGGAAAAGGTCCCAAGCATAGCTGTCATTTCCCCTTAAGCCCGAAAAAGGAAGCCATCGGTTGGCGGGCGGATCGAAGTCGCCATATTTTGACCCATTCAACAGCCGAAGGACCTGTCGCTCATGATCAAGCTCACGTTGCCGTGCCCGATCTTCATCGATCAATGGCGGTCGAGACTGAGAACTGAGGAGAAGGTAGAACACCAGTAAGAAGAAGAAAAAGGAGCCGCGGTTATCCATCTATGCCACGAAGTCTCGGCATCGGACTCTTTCTCAAAGACAGACAATAAGCATCGCGATGCAGAGAAAGAAAATACCCGAGAAGGACCGGGGAGCTCGGCTAAGTTACAGAGTGTACAAACTGAAAAGATTGAATGAATGACGAGAGCAGTATGAGTAGGTGTCTATGGAGCGGAGTTGATGATGTACTCGACCCCGGGGAGCCTACCCGCCGGGCACCCACTCCTTGCTGACTCATGACGCCTCAGACGTGACCTCGGGATGGATGGGTCGATATCAACCCTGGAAACGTTCTACTTCGGGATTTATACCCCGTGAAATTAAAAAAAAAAAAAGGAATGGACAGATTGAAGACTACATATTCTTATGCGACTATTCTTATCCAAATTTTTTTGTAGAACAGATCAAAAGATAACAAATGCCAATGCATTTGTGGCAAGAATTGTCCACTAAATGCGAAGACCCCGAATACTGATATCAAACCGGTTGAATTTTGGTACAAATAGAAAAACGCATACACGCAACGAATCTCAATCATAAGAGCTCTTTGCTTTATGATGCAGCAGCCAGGGCACCACCCTCGGGCTTCTCATCCCGCCGCCGACGCTTCTCAAGAATGGCCTCGCGGCGCTGTGCAAGCATCTTCAATTGTCTGCTCTCAACACCCTGGAGCCAGTAGCCAAAGCTTCCACCAACACCGGCAAAAAGAGGGTAGACCCAGAGGGATTCCTTGGCGAGGATCGGACGCATCTCGATACCGAGTTGCCAGAGGCGGACGGCAATGCCTGCGGGATCAATGCGGTTAGTTCCAATGACCATATGAAAAAGTCAAACAATACTGCTACCAAGTAGCATATTTATATAATATATTGAAAGCCAGGGAAGGGTATGTCACGTACCGAAGCCACTCCAGAAGAGTACTTTGTGAACCATGATCGCGGACGGGCGCGGGGTTGTGGTTGTAATTCGAGTGCGGAGGGAGATCCGGGAAAAAGGATCAAGAAGGCGGATGGGTGGATTGGTTAATTCAACACCACAGCGGCCGGGGTAAATGGAGGCGGAGTTGGATGTTGCCGTCGCAATAGTACAGGAGAGACGAAGTTGAAGCAAATCAGCGGGCCGCAGTTCCCAATCACGGAACAACAATTCTTCCGGTCACAGTTGTTATCGCTTATCACTCGCGCGACTTTGAATCTGTCTCTCGTCCAGGACAGTCGTGTTACTATGCCTTCTGATGAGGCAATGGACGATTCTCACGGGATAGATGATGCCCATTCTATGGCTAAGCGGCCTATTGACATTGAGAGTGTGAAGCGCAAGAAGTTCAAGACCGATGACCTTCCCTTGTCTGCCGCGCAACATGCAGTCATTGACAAACTCCTACATTCATTCAAGAAGAAGGGTGGCTTTGATAGTGTTCGTAAACAGATATGGGCTGATTTCAATGAAGGGGTATGAGATATTATTCACATGCTTTTCTGCGCTCTGCTAATCATATTTGAACAGGAACTTCGAACCGATTTTACCAACAAGTTGGTCGCACTTGCAGAGTCAGAGATCGATCGCGAGCCAGCACTGCTGTCCCGCGAAAGAGGAAAAGCAGCGACGCTTATTGAGGGCGCGGTGGACCGTGGTGATGTCTACAAGAGCGTGGAGGACTCTATCGACCAATTAACCTCCAAACACCTGGATTTTATCCTCGAATCTGTTCGTGAGATCCGATGCCAGGACGTTGGGGAGGAAGTTGCCGCGCGTGAACTCGAGTTAGGGAACAAAACCGATGCAGATTACGAAGCCTATGTTAGCGCCCAGCGGAAGGAGCGGGAAAAAGTGTGGCGCGAGGAGGAGCGCAAACAGAGGGAGATCGAGGAAGAGGAAAAACGTGTCAGGGATGAAGAACGCAAGAAGAAGCGTGAACTCGAACGACAGAAAGATGAAGAAGATCGGGCCCGACGAAAGGAAATTGATGAACAGAGGCGAGCTGATCGTGAACGCCAACGCGAAGAGCAGCGGATTCTCGACGAGCAGAGAGAACGAGAGCGGGATGAAAGATATGAGCGACGAAGGCGAGAAGATAGGGAGCGATATCGAGCCTGGGACCGCGACCGCAGTCGAACTCGAGACAGAGACCGTTTCCGTGATCGCTCTCCGGCCTATCGCTCTGACCGTGGCTTATCCCCTTGGCCCCGGGATTCGAAACATGAGAAGTCATCTGCGTCTAATGCTCCCACTCCTGTGCTAGCGCCCCTTGTGGATGAGAAGTCACTTGAGGAGGCTGCTTTGCAAATGCTATTGAAAGAAGGCGAAGAACTTGCAGCCAAGGCTCGACAGAAGCCTGAGTTTGACTTTGAAGAAGCCGAGGCTATTGAAAATGGACTGAAACCGCCAGTATCAACGTTGGGGCCGGCTAAGAGCGCCAATGATTCTAGGTTCTCCAATAACTCTACTAGAGCAGCCAGCCTATCCCGAGATTCTGACGCGAGGCGTGGTTCTCTTGCTGACCGGGGTGATCGGTCCCGACATATGACTCGGGATCGAAGTCGCAGTCGCTCGCGTCGACGGCGCACATCGCGTTATGACACAGATCGTCGACGTGAACGGTCTAGGGATACTTCTGTGAGGTCTCGAGATCGTGATATGGATGCGCGCCGTGGCTACCGCGACTTCCGGGATGATCGAGGTGGTGGAAGCTACAGACCAAGCCGTCGCAGTCGCAGTCGCAGTCGCTCAGTTGGCCGCCGTGACCGAGACCGCAGTATTGGCCGCGATAGAGAGAGAATACGGGATCGATCGCGATCCCGAGACCGAGACCGCAGCCGCAACCGAGACCACGACAATTATCGTCCTCGGCGCAGTCGGCCCTCTCGCTCACCCGTACGCCGACGTTCTCGCAGCCGCTCACGCTCTCGCCGTCGTGCTCGTGACCGAGGACGGTCACGATCTCGATCTACTCGAAGGCGATCTCGGTCTCGGCGTCGTTCGCCTTCTCCTACTCTCAGATATTGACCGCTATGTGCCCTCCACCAGTAACCGGAGCAAGTCACCTCGCCGTCGGGTCCGTTCTCCAGAACGAGAGCGAGAGCGAGAACAGCGACCCCGGTTAGCTGACATTGACCGTTACAAACCTGTATCTGAACGAGATAAGGATCCGGCTCAAGCAAAAGAGGGAGATTTTGAGGTTGGCATGGAAAAAGACAAGGAGAAGGAGAAAGAAAAAGAAAAAGAGAAGGAAGTGGATGATCGCCGACCTCGTCGACGAACTCCTAGTCGTTGAAGGAGTCGTAGCCGACGTCGAAGCCCAAGTCGACGACGAAGTCCAAGTCGACGACGAAGTCGCAGTCGCAGAAGGAACCGGAGCCGATGATTTTGGCAGATGTTTTGCCATGTATCAAAAGACAGGGAGGCTTTTTTTACCCGCTGGCTTATTCTTAAACCTACCCTGCAATAATAACATGTATCATTAGAGGAATTATAGCGATTGAATACCCTTGCCATCTACCTATTTGTACCTAATTCCGTCTAAACTGCGGGTTGAAATTATCTTGATGCTGCCCAGGTGATGTAGATCACATGCATCATCCATGGATTCGATAGCAGATAAGCTTATTCGTTATCAGTTCTCCACCTAAAAAAAAGTTCAACCAGACTCGCCAACTTCCAGTCTTCCCAGACACAGACAATACCCGCGGGCTAACGGACACTGAGATCAAACTTAGCATTAACAAAAATCTCGAAATATCTTGCCAGAACGCCTTCCAGCCCTTAAACCCCACATCAGCGCATCGCAATCTCCCAAAAATCTCTGCAACTCCCAGCAACCGCATACCTCGAAGGAACATCCAAACTATGCCAAACGCAACGACGATATCCGAGGCTGCTGCAAGCAATCCCTCTCCGCAGACCCTAAACCTAGCAGACCGTACCGCGGCCCGTCGACAGCGCGCCAACTCTGCTCAATCCTCCGACTCCGACCCAACCTCCTCTTCAGGCTCTTCTTCAGGGGATGATAGCGAGAGCGAAAGGGAAGACGAAGAACATTCTGATCAAGAAATGAATGGTACCACAGAGTCGACCACCCACGCGCATACCTCTGATCCATCCTCCTCACTACCTCACATCGCCGGCCGCCCGAAACCGCGCATACATCGCATTAAAGGCGATTCGGGACTTTTGTCGCGGCTCAACGCTTTCTTGCCAAAGATGAAGGATGCAAATGATGATTTGAAGAGGCAGATTGAAGCTGGGGAGGCTGGGGATCTGGTTCTTGATAATGCCGACGAGAATGGGGAGCAGTATATTGAGATGGTAAGGCTTATTGATTTTGATGTTGATGATTGGGATGGAGTTTGCTAACGGGATTTAGGATCTCGGTCTTGGGGTTTTGGAAGAGAAGCGCGATGATGATTCTTCGAGTGATGAGGAGAGTGATGACGAAGGGTCTGAGGGTGCCACTGGGGCTGGGAAAGCCCCTCAGGAGATGAATGACTCGGATATCATTGGGAAGCTTATGGGAGGCAAGGGTAAGAAGTCGAATACGGATAAGCCATCTATCGAGGAGATGGCATAGTAAACGCTTGTTCGATTTGGTGTTGGGTTGCATTATCTTACTTTCGGTCGATATGTGTGGTCTTGATTCAATCATGGCGTTTACTGGCTTGACATTTGCATAATCGTGGGCTCCGTGTTACCATTTAGCGTCTAATTAATGCATTCCTTTTTTTCCCTCTACAGAAGTGGCTCCAAACCAATCGCACACACAAAGACAAATACATTCATTCCTATGTATGTATGCAAACCATCAGAATTCAAGTCTAGATAACGGATATAGAAGAAAAGATAATAGCAAAACAAAACACGAGCATATCGCGGATCTCTATATATGCATGAACCCATCATACACTATGACCGAATGACATTATTAAAAAGGAATAATTTTGCGTTTCTCCGTCTCATCTTTTAGACGACTTCCTTGATACGGCAAGTCCAGCCGGATTCCTGGCTCAGAAGAGGCAAGCTGCAGCAGATCAGTATACTGATTAGAAAGAGATGGGAAGGGATTGAACTAACCTCGCACCAAGACACCAGCCCAGCTCGTTGTTCTTGATCTTCTTAGCGATCTTGACCTCGCGGGACAAGGGCATTTCGTAACCAGTGTGCAGCAGACCCATCATGAAGCTGAGGTCCATACACCAATCCGGACGATCCCGAAGTTGCACGAGTGCGTTATCCTCATTCTCGAACTTGATACTTTCGAAGGCCTTCCATTCGCTCTCGCCAGCACAAACGGTGGCGGTCAGCTGGTTAAGCTCATCCAGAGTGAAAGATTCCGGCATTCCGAGAGGAGCCGTGCGGTCGAAGAAATAAGAAAAGATGTACACATCCTCTCGGGCGAAAGTCTTTGAGAGAGAGGGCTGGTGGACACCGTTGAAAGAGCAGGGTGCAAGCTTGCACTCCCCGCTCTTCTTCAAGATCTTCTCGGCGATAGCACGGCACTGGGGTCCCATGGACTTGTCCTTTGGCCCGACCATGGTCACCTTGACTTTAGGCCCAAGAGGATGATCAGCAGGGAATTTTAGCTCAACTTCCTTCTGCATTCCTGGGCCAATGCAGGGGTTGGGGATGGGCTGGTCAACCCAGGACAGGTCCTTGGGGCTCTGGGCTAGCATCGCCTCCACGACCACGGTGTTCATAGCCTCGCGAGCAGACATGAGACCGTATCCAAGATGAGAGTGCTGGTATAGCTCAAATTGGCGGCCACCGAACTTGAGGTCATACTTGTGGTCACCAGGGGCGAGGTGCTCCGGCATACCACCAGCCTTGCTCTGCTCGAAGGTAGGCTGGAAGACAATCTGAGTGGAACCGCCACCCAGATCAAAGACGGCAGCCGTGGGAGTCTCATCCGGGCCACCGATCTTGCCCAACAAGTAGTTGGTTGTAATCCAAGCGTAGACACCTTCGTCTGAACCATCCATAATTTGAACACCGCCCTTCTCCCTGGAGACAACGGGGAAGGGGTAGGCGGTCTCCAGGCGGTGTCTAACGGCTTCCAAGATCTTGTTGCTCATTTCAGGACCAAGAAGACGAAGTCCGGCCGTGGCCTTGACGGCAACTGGAGAGCATGACCTGTACTCCTCAGGAACCGACTTCACAGCGACATCCATAAGAGGGTCCAGACTCAGAGCTGCACCCTCGGCATCCTCCCTAAAGGAGCTGAGACCAGAGCCTCCCCTCTTCTTTTTTGTTTGTTCGAAGACCTCGTTCTCAAGTTCTGGTGTAGGGCCACAGTTGTTGAATCGGTATACATGAATCCGGGACCCAGTGCTGCCAGCATCGATCATAAGAGCATACTGAATAAGAGGCTTGGACGAATCAAATGGCTTGGTGCATTTCGAAGTGGACACGCCACTGCTTGAAGGTGGTTGCTCTGCTAGATAATCAGTTCTGCAAACGCCAGCGCGTAAGGGGAACACCAACCGGTGGTAAGATGTGAAGCGCTCGGCTGGGACGGGGAGAGCCACACCAGGACCATAAAAATGAAGGCGATGATTGCGCCTGTCTTCAAGTAACGCGATCTCTGGGTCTGTGCCATGTTGACGGTTTCTTTGTCGGAGGACTGACTGGACGCAGTAGACTGTAGGATGGCAGATCCGTCGCTGCGGGATATGGAGCGGTGGCGGGTGGCCGAATCTATGTAGTCAGATTTGCTGTTGTGGTTTCGAATGTCGACTCCAGTCGACATTCGAGCAGTTATCGGTTATAAGGGTGTAGTGACAGGTGGCGTTTGTCGCTGGCGCAAGAATGGCTGAACGATCGTACCAGGTTAAGAGGAAGAATGAAACAAGCAAGTAACCATTGATCCCGATATCCTCCAAAAACACCAAGCCAGTTTAGGGGGAGAAAAGTGGATAAATGTAAAGAGGTAAAATTGTCAGGAGAGAAAGGAGATTCAGGGTTTCATGGTTGTGGCGCAGATGTGGCGTCGATGCATGCATGGATGTACATGGTACATACCTCAGGAGAACTTCCAAGACTCAAGCACATAGGAAACGATTAAGATCACAACATCTGTCTCATCTATTAAGTCTGAAATGGGGCTTTTTCTTTCTCACAATCAAGAAAAATACGAACGCTCCAGCGAAGTAACACAAGCAATGTCGCAATTTTGTGGGTTGCAATTTAATAAGTTAGCAGTGAAAACTACATCTTGCAGAATTGAGTGTTATATGGAGTACACGAAATATAACAAAACAATATGAGTATATCCACCTTCCTACAGAGCAGAGAGAGTAGAGCTTCAAAGCATTGTTAGCATGTACTACTAGTGGGAGGAGTAATTGATGGGATGATTGGCCGCATGTCCCGACTCCCATTTTCCCTGTATTAAGGCAACTGATTTAGACTATATATTGAACGTCGGATGTTGTAGCTACGCACTTAATAGGTATCTGTTGAGATAATTACGTATGTACAGGCATCATGAATTACCTAGGTCCTGGGTCAGATTATCTGGCCGGAAGCATCACCTTCCAAAGTTGGTATGCCGGGGGCCCCATTGCTGTTTGTCATGTTTGCATTAATACGTATTTGACTTCCCCATATTTAGCGTCCCATCCACTTGCCTATGCGTTTTATCATTGCGAACCCTACATTTTCCTTTCGTGGCAAGCTGGCCGCCCGTCTACGGCTCCTGCAATATTTCCCGCTACCAGCTGGCAATATGAACCACACACGCGGTCTCATATCATCCGCCCAGGCCCTACGCCAGATCTTCGTCGCACCCGTTCGCACCTCCAGAGTTGGGATTCTTGCGTTCAGGCCGCTTCAGAATGCTCCCCAGACTCGATTCTTTCAACAATCCCGTTGCCTAGAGCTTCGAGGATACCGGCCACCCGTCGAAAAGCCCCCGATAAACGAAGCTATCCGTTCATCATTTGTCCAAGTTGTGAACGATGAAGGCGACCTCGACCCCCCGACCAGACTGGAGGATGTCCTTGGAAGCTTTGATCACTCCGAGTTCTTTCTTCTCCAGGTGCAAGAAGGAGACCATGACAACCCGCCGGTTTGCAAGGTCTACAATAAGAAAGAAGCGCGAGAACTTGAAAAGGCCAAAGCAAAGTCAGCTCGCTCATCCAAGATTACATTCAAACAAATTGAACTGAACTGGGCAATCGATGCTCATGATCTGTCACATCGCCTGAAACAACTCTCGACCTTCTTGGAGAAAGGCCGCAGGGTGGAAATCCTACTGACTACCAAGAAGCGCAAGCGCAAGCCCACGGTGGATGAGATCAAACAGGTCATGCAGAGTGTTTTGGACACAATCAGAGAGGCCGGTGGAACTCAGACCAAGGCAATGGAGGGGGAACCGGGGAAGCAACTCAAGATTACTGCACAGAAGAATATCTAGCAGAGAGGATTGGTCACGTGTATATTATATGGCGTTGAACTCTAAAACATGGCGTCGATTCCAACCTTGGAAGCCCAGGAGGTTGTATAGCGCTGTTTGTCATCACTGTTAGACCCCGGGGCCTCTATTCCAAAATTGAATGTGTTGGCGCCATGATACTTGATGCCACTTGTACATATCTCGGAAGTAGCACTGGAGAGCTACAAGATAAGACAATTGCCCTCCGCATCCGCATCAAGGCATAATTGCCTCACTGATCACCAAAAAGCATACACAAAATTGATATCCCATGTTCAACCTCTACATGTGCCTAGTTAACTTCTGTCCGCAATTCGAGGTCTGTGATTGGCTGATGACTAAGCCGCCCTGGGGATCCATCCGTCCCGGAAGCCATCTTACTAGAAAATTTGGTGTTGATCTGGGCTCCTTCTCTCCCATCCTTACTCCATCTCCTCAATCTTTCTTTTTTGTTCTTGTTCCATCGTTCTTGTTTCGATTGAACCAAGATGTCGACCATCTCTCGTTCATTGAACCTCCTGGCGCGCACTAGCCGGTCCTCCCTGCTGCGTCCAACTACCGTCAACCCCGTCCACCATGTCTTTAGCAACAAGGTCGCCGGCCGTGGCTTGGCTACTGCTTTCGAGCGTAACAAGCCCCACGTGAACATTGGTAAGTTCCTGTCTCTGGCGCATAATCCACCTTCATGCTAAAAGGTTATTGTTTAGGTACCATTGGTCACGTCGATCACGGCAAGGTAAGCTTAGCTATTTGCGACTCGTTCCGACATCTCCGCCCTCCGAACATGAAATTTAACCCCGTCCGCCCATAGACTACCCTGACTGCCGCCATCACCAAGTACCAGGCCTCTAAGGGCCTTGCCAACTTCCTCGACTATGCCTCCATTGATAAGGCCCCTGAGGAGCGCAAGCGTGGTATTACCATCTCGACTGCCCACATTGAGTTCGCAACTGAGGACCGTCACTACGCTCACGTCGACTGCCCTGGTCACGCCGATTACATTAAGAACATGATCACTGGTGCTGCCAACATGGATGGTGCCATTGTCGTCGTTGCTGCTTCCGATGGTCAGATGTACGGCCCCCAGTCTAAAAATCTAGCTTGAAGAGTGTGCTGACGCAAACCACGCAATAGGCCCCAGACCCGTGAGCACTTGCTGCTTGCTCGTCAGGTCGGTGTCCAGAAGATTGTTGTATTTGTTAACAAGGTCGACGCTGTCGAGGACCCTGAGATGCTGGAGCTCGTCGAGCTCGAGATGCGTGAGCTGCTCTCCTCTTACGGATTTGAGGGTGAGGAGACTCCTATCATCTTCGGCTCTGCCCTTTGCGCCCTCGAGGAACGCCGCCCTGAAATTGGTACTGAGCAGATTGAGAAGCTCATGAAGGCCGTCGACACCTGGATCCCCACACCCGAGCGCGATCTGGATAAGCCTTTCCTTATGTCCGTTGAGGAAGTCTTCTCTATCCCCGGCCGTGGTACTGTTGTCTCTGGCCGTGTCGAGCGTGGTCTCCTGAAGAAGGACACTGAGGTTGAAATTGTCGGTGCCACCGACTCTGGTAACCCCATCAAGACCAAGGTTACCGATATTGAGACCTTCAAGAAGTCCTGTGACGAGTCCCGTGCTGGTGACAACTCCGGTCTGCTGCTCCGTGGTATCCGCCGTGAGGACATCCGCCGCGGCATGGTCGTTGCTGCCCCTAACAGCACCAAGGCCAACAACAAGTTCCTCGTGTCCATGTATGTTTTGACCGAGGCTGAGGGTGGTCGCCGTACTGGTTTCGGTTCCAACTACCGCCCCCAGGTCTACATTCGTACTGCTGGTATGTCTAATTTCCACTGATTGATCTGATATCAAATCGATATAAAGGATACTAACTATGCTCTAGATGAGGCTGGCGATCTGAGCTTCCCCGATGGCGACATGTCCAAGCGTGTCCAACCCGGTGACAACGTTGAGATGATCCTCAAGACCCACCACCCTGTTGCTGCCGAGCCCGGTCAGCGCTTCAACATCCGTGAGGGTGGCCGCACCGTCGCCACTGGTCTGATTACCCGTGTCGTCGAGTAAATGGTCCGCTCACACCCATGGTCAGGCAAGCTAATTGTCTGACCCTTGTATTATGAACCCCTTTTCTTTAACATCATGTTTGTTTTGGCACCTTTTATTCCACAGCGCGGGAATCAGCACGAGGAATCCGGGGGTAAACCGGAGTTTTCGCTTGAATCTTGTTCATGTACCTCTACTGTCTTGGAGATGTAGTCAGAGTTTCCTTCATTTCTCCACTCCCGTGAAAATGTATTCAGACCAAATTCTTTCTAGGCTCATATATAATTCCAGTCAAGTTCAAGTCAATGTGTACGCAATATTTCACTGCTCCACCCTCATTTCCAGTCTATCCCATAAAAGCAGAAGCTAGGTGCATACCTGTGGACATGATCGAATTACATCAACGTCTAATTCACGCAACTTCCTCCACTTCTATTGGTAATTGCAATTCGCCCATCCCGCTTAAGAATACGCTACACATTCTCATATATGGTGGGCGAAGTCAGACATTGAAATCAAGCAACCACTGCAATGGGTACAGACGGCTTCCCTTTTTCCGTGTCCTCTAGCTTATCGCCCCTCAGCCCCTCTACGGGCTCATAGTATATTGTTTACCATATGGTGGTGTAAACGGGCTGAGTTCTGTTATTGGCTTCAGCACCTCGCAGCACTCTCACGATGTGGTGCTCCGCTAACATGATCTTGCCAAGATCCACTCAAATTCTAAGCTATCCATCATAATAAATACTGCTTTCTCCCATTCACCTCTCCAAATGCTTGGTGGACTCAGTAATCCTTCGCTTCGAAATAGGGGCACACTAGTATTAGTTTAGTATCACGGACTCCTCTCCTCCGACACCGGGTGCGGGGATAGAACTAAGAAGTATACATCGTACTCCGCTAATCAAGCATTCAAGATCTCTATATCTCGGAGATGGGGACTAGCCTTTACAGCGTTAGGTTATTCTTATGCCCAAACCGCAGATAGTTTTACCAAACCACTAAGATCCCGCCCTTGAACTGGTTTGGGTGCGCAGTGGTGTTGAGATCTCTCATTGGATCATCTAGTTCCATATCGCCATACATTTCCAACATTATTAGGTCTGCTAGATCATACTTCATATAATTAATCCAGATATCAGACCGCGTTCGCTTACACAGTTCACTTTCATTGGTGCTGTCCTTGCTACCCAGTGGTAACATCGAACACCTACAAACCAATCAGAGAAGCGCAATCAAAGGATGATATATTAAATATATTTGGAAGAGCTCCACAAGAAATACCGGAGGAACGGAAACACGAGCCAACATATATTTAAGGAGAAGCTATAGGCGCATGTGTAGCGGGCTTTCCTGCAGTTCTGTTTATTCCCTTCGAAGTTGCGGAGATATTTGACCTTTTCATATTATATACCATGAAGGATCGAGACGATGTTGGTCCTATGGCTGGCGGTGCAACAGTTGCTGCGACGCCCTCGCAAGCTCAAGGTGCACTGACTTACCTTTTTACGTTGTATGATATCGTGTTGTATCAATTGATCGGAGAGAAGCTTAATGAACTATACAGTGGAGATTCCTACACCCAGACCGAGTTCGCTGTCAATGGCACACAGCCATCTACGATGAACCCGATGGGAAACCCGACACTAGGTGAGTACTATCCACCTGAACAAGTAGGATTGAGATCCTCACAATGCCAAATAGGGACCGGTACAACGAGTGGTGGTACCAATTGGGTCGGATACCTAACTACTCTATACAATACTTCGCCGGTATTGAGCTACAACTTCGCCGTTGGGGGAGCAACAATCCACAACTCTATTGTCGATACTAAGGTTAAGGATGTGACATCGCAAGTCCGGGACTTCGAGTTGGCATATGGCGAGAAGCCTATATATGCGCCGTGGTCTTCAGATAATGCGGTGTTTGGATTCTGGATTGGGATCAATGAGTATCGCTCCTCCAAACACCATTGTCTGCTATGTTCTAATGTTTTCAATTTGTAGCATCGGCTGGGGCCATCAAAACACCCAACCTAGTATACTTGTGCCGACATTAATGGCACAGTACAAACGTCTCATTGAAAAGATATATGCATCTGGCGGACGGAAGTTCCTTTTCCTGAATGTCCCGCCTACAGATCGGAGTCCTATGATCATCAAAGAGGGGCCGGAAGCCGTTAAAACGTATGCTACGTGGGTGAAGGCTTACAATAACGGCCTTCAATCAATGATCAATGAATTCAAGTCGAGTCATACTGGCGTATGTTGAGGTCCCTTACCATCCATGGATGGTTTTTTTTATTTTTTTTTCATATAAAACTAACATGATCGTAGACTACTATCGTTCTTTACGATACTTGGTCCTTTATGCCGAAGATCCTAGACGATCCTCAGGCATATGGATTTCCGAATGCCACTTGTTTGAATGAAAATGGCACGTCCTGTATTTGGTGGAATCATTACCACCCTGGACAGAACTACCATAAACTCCAGGCAGCGGATATGATCCATTACTTGAAGCCTCTCGGTGCTTGGTAGACCGACACGGAGATGGACAGTGGATTACAAGGGGTTAAAAGTTATATCATGGAATAAATAGTGCTGTGAATGAATCCTCAACACGTATATGTTGTAGATGGTATATACCTACATACATAGGTAGTATACAACATACATACCTAAACTACATTTGTACCCATATGTTGTACTTGTTGTATGGTAGACAAGTGGACGGACTTAACGGAAATAGTGTATTGCATCTGATTGGTCCGGGCGAAAATGTCGCACCACCTGGGCACTTCGGCCGAACTTGACGGACGAACATCTATGGGAACTATCCAACTGTTCCTTTTTGTTCTTTTGTTTAAGATTACGTGGGACTGATTTGAGCTCTAGGTTGCCTTGGATCTTCAGAGTTCTTGTGCCCCTTTCTCTTGTCTTCCTCCAGAGACCATTCGCCAAAGGACCCTGCTTGCACAACCTGCAACGACTGATCTGACCGACTTAGCAACACGACGTCCGTGGACAGAGGACCTTAGACTTGCTTTTTCGCTGTACTGGTTAATATGGAACCCTGGACGGACGAAGAACCGGCGCGAAAGCGGATGAGAAAGGGAACTAGAAGTTGCACAGAGTGTATGTGTCAATAGACATTTGATATGCCTGCGCTAATAGCGTTCAATTATAGGTCGGCGACGTAAGATCCGATGCACGTTTCAACCCAACCGTCCAGAAATTTGTAATGAGTGTCGGTCCAGAGGCATGAAATGTGTTGATCAAGAACATGCGGTTGTTACCCCTCCATTATCCGGCTACCAGCGGAACTCCCAACTTGGCGAACAGCCATACAGTCTCCGCGAGCGAGTAGCACACCTGGAGAACCTCGTGGAGGGGCTGACCAAGCGACTAGACCAACGGGACTCTAACGCTCCGCCTTGTGAGCACCATGTAATAAAACAATGTTGGTATCTCCCGGATGCGTGTGGATTGATGTCGCATGACTAACATTAGCCAGCGGACGGTATAAAAGGCCATTCAAGACCGCTAGATACTGAGCCAGACGAACTAGGCCCTTCTAGTGACCAGATTTGCAATGCGCCGATACTACAACTGTTTGACAACTATCTCGTGAGCCGCCAAGAGGACTCGTCGAATAATGATAAATTCGCGGGTGTTCAGGACATGTCGCCAAAAGCCAAAGCGGTGCGTGCAGAACTCATGAGACTTCTACCTCCCTTAGAGGATATGAATAAGATTATCAACGCGTCCTTCCATTGCTTCTTGTGGCAAGATCATTTCCCGGAGCTCTTCGATCAACATGCCGACAGACTCGTTTTCAATGAAAATTGTCGCGATAATCTAGTGGCTCCCGCCGAAGTCGCGAAGGTACTCATGTGCCTCAGTATCAGCGCAGTTCATGCCCCGTCTGAATTTGGCTTTAATACTTTAACCGTGCCCTTTGAACCTCAAAAATTCTCTGATCAATGCATTGAGATGGTGGACCGTCTAATCGTCCGTGATGACAACTTCGCGGCTACCCTACCCGGTATAGAATGTCAGATGTTACTTCATAGGGTTCATTTGACTGATGGCCGGCTCCGGAAAGCTTGGCTGGTGATCCGTCGGGCAATCGAGTTTGCCCATTTAGCTGGCATGCATATGTCCACTAAGGTTCCAAAGCCAGGCGACTCTTTATATCAAAGGCGCTTAAAAATCTGGTGTTCCCTGGCAATATCGGATCGGTTCCTGAGTTTGATTCTTGGCCTGCCTTATGGTATCAGCGATCAATTCTTTTTGCCACAGATGGAGCAACGTCTCAATTCAAATCTATCAGCTCCCGAGGAATACCTGTCGCGCATTGGCATTATCACTGGCCATATGGTTGACCGAAACCAAGACCCTTCCAAGATGACTCTCGAAGCAACATTACGACTGGATCAAGAGCTGCAGAATTCTTGGGAATCCATGCCAAGTCACTTTCAAGCCGCAGAGCCTTGTCACTATGAGAAACGGGAACACTATATTGAGAGGGTCCCGTTGCAATTCATGCTCAAGCTACTACGTGCTTTTCTCCATCTCCCCCTGATGCTGCAATCTCCCCATGAGCCTCGATTCCGTCCCTGCCACACGATCGCGATTCAATCCGCAAGAGAAGGGCTCGTCCTGTACAAGGTCCTTCGATCTAACATCAAGCCCTATTTGTGCAAAATGATCGACTTTATGGCCTTCACGCTATGTCTTCTTTTGATAATACACCTGCAAGGCTATTCCGACGAGAATCCAGATCAAAGTAAAGAGCAAGATGAAGAAGATTGGGATATGGTAAGAAAGGTCATTGGGATCCTTGGTCAGGCGGCAGCGGAGCTGGGAGGCTCAGTTGCTGCCGAGTCTGCAAACATTCTCCGCGCCATCCACGATACCAAAGATTTCAAGCGCGATTGGAGCAGCCTCTCGAGCTGCAAAATTACCGTGCCCTATTTTGGTACTATTACTGTCGGGGCGGGAACCAAGTTTTCCAAAGGTCGCCCAAAAGCCAAGGAGCCGACCTCAGTAGTATCAGACAACGTAGGGACCGAAGCTTCCTGCTCAGAGCAATGTCCTACTCAGCTCTATACGCCGCCGATGTCAGACCCTGAATGTGCACCGAGCACCAACACTGATGCCTTAAATGATGCTTCCTTCACGCCCACGATGGGGCCTGGATATCCAGACGAGTCATGGCTTTCGAGGAGTGAAACAGTGACAAACCCATATGTTGGCCTAGAGCTCAACGCATTTAGTGGTCTGTTCGATGATTTTGGGCAGTATATGTGGCCAAACCACAGTGTTGACCTTGGACTTGATCAGGGCTGGAATCTGGACTGGTCAGATGGTGTGCCACCACCATGAGTTTAGATAACCTTTTGTATTTACTTAACTGCCTGAAATCTGTATATGATGTAAATTAAGAACATTTGACAATAGATACATCGGTTTCTATCATCTGATTGCATGACGCGGAGGGGGGGGGAATCTGCTGCCAGAAACCGGTGAGGTCTAAATAGCCAAGAAGCATTGGTTTTACTTAGTGACGATATACCATCAATAGAACGTTGGAAGAAATCTCAATATCTTGTTGATAAAATACCATATAAGTCTAGAGTGGTCCAGAAGTGACGTTGCCGGGGCTAAAGGGGTTTGTTTATGTAAGACTTCCCCAACCCACGGGTGGACATCGACCTCGGGACTGATCATCTCAATGAACCCGTGAAACGACCGTGTGATCCCTGAATTATTTTTCCCCGTTCGATTAGTCTGTTGCTTTTTACACCTGCATGGCCCTCTAAGTCCTAATATATCTTTGCTATTTCAACTCGCTCCTGCCACAAACACCTCTCCCCCTCAACATACACAGAGCAGAAGATAAACATGGCTGAACGACGCCCCTCAGGGTTGGAAAGGAGTCCAACTGCGCCGCCGGTTCTCTCAAATGGCCACTTTGCTTCGATCGGCGCCGAAGGCGATGCTGCCTCCTATGAGCACGGCGTGCAGGTCATTGATGAGAATAAGGAGTTCAAGTACGGCCACCTCCATCTGCTATGGTTCATCTAATTTATAACCCTTGAATGCTGATCACATCACTATAGTCCCAACCTGTCCAAATATTTGTCTCTTGAAAATGTCACGTCGGCTGGTTTCAATTACCATCTCATCTCCGTGTTTGGTTCGCAATCCACCGGAAAGTCCACACTGCTCAATCACCTGTTCGGTACCCAGTTCTCCGTGATGTCGGAGCTGGAGAGAAGGCAAACGACCAAGGGTATCTGGCTTTCGAACAACAAGAAGCAGGGCGATGCCGGGGCGGCGGAGCGCATGGCTGATAACATCTTGGTCATGGACGTGGAGGGAACTGACGGTCGCGAGAGAGGCGAGGATCAGGACTTCGAGCGCAAGAGTGCGCTCTTTGCGCTTGCGACGAGCGAGGTTCTCATTGTCAACATCTGGGAACACCAGGTGGGGTTGTATCAGGGAGCCAACATGGGATTGTTGAAGACCGTGTTCGAAGTCAACTTGCAACTGTTCCTAAAGGATAAACAGTATGTGTCCTTTCGATCATATGCTTCTCTTTGCGCTTCGGGTGCTAATCTCTCTACAGTACCACTCACCGGTCCCTCCTATTCTTCGTCATTCGTGATTTCATTGGTACAACACCACTCAAGAACCTGCAGAAGACATTATTGGAAGACCTCTCCCGTCTCTGGGACACTATATCGAAACCTGCGGGCTTGGAAAAGTCGACGATTCACGATTACTTTGATTTCCAATTCTACGGACTGCCACACAAGGGTTATCAGCCTGACCAGTTTGTGACGGAGGCAAACAAGCTTGGCCTGCGTTTCCGGGAAGGTCACCGAGACCCAAAGAGGGATGCCCTAAAGGGCGAGTTCTCCGAAGGAGGAGTCTTCCTACCTGAATACCATCGCCGCATTCCGGCCGATGGATTCTCACATTATGCGGAGGGAATTTGGGATCAAATCGTCAATAATAAGGACTTGGATTTGCCCACACAGCAGGAGTTGCTTGCGCAATTCCGTTGCGACGAAATTCTGCGCGAGGTAATGATCGGCTTCGATGAGGCGATCACCGCATTTGAGGATAAGCAGGCTGAGTCCGTGCGTGTTGGTGCGCCTGAGGTCCTAGGGGGACTTGGTGTTGCCATGCGTGCTGCGCGCGTCAAGACGCTAAAAAGTTTTGAGACGGAAGCCAGCCGATACCACAAGGGCGTTTACCAGCGGAAAAGCGCCGAGCTTCAGGGCAAGGTCGATACCCGCCTCAAGGTACTTTTCCACGGCCAGTTGTCGGCAGCTCACAAGTCTGGAATCCGCGACTTCAGTGATTCGGTCAGCGCTGCTGTCAAGGATGGCCAGAAGAAGGGCGGTAGCTACGACTTCGCCGAAATCGTCGCCAAGGAGACCCAGTCTTCATTGGAGAAGTTCGAGGAGGTCGCCCGCTCCACATTGGTGGATGGAGCTTCTTGGAGCAACTACACGCAAGAGCTCTCTTTGTTTAAGAAAGAATTGGCTGAGGTCAGTGCCCGTCTGCGCCGCGATGAAATGAGACGTCTGGCCACCCGCGTTGAGCGGTGGGTTCAATCTCGTCTGGGTGAATCTGTGGGACTTGAGTTCAATGCCCTCGGGTCTGGAAGAGCTGGCGGTGGTGCACCCGAGAACGGGGAGAAACCTACCGAGAAGGACTTCTGGGATCGGATCTGGAACTTGTTCGAAGAAACTGTTCTTGACGCTGAGCGGAGATTCACGGACCGCGCGAGCAGCTTCGATGCTAGCATTGATGAGGTCGATGTTGGCCTTTGGCGACTGCGGCGTAAGTCTTGGGGTGTTCTTCGCGCCAAGATTGAAGAGGAGATGATTGAGGGCAACTTGCTCCTCAAACTTCGGGAAAACTTCGAGGACAAGTTCCGCTACGACGAAGCCGGCGTGCCACGTATCTGGCGCCCAACTGATGACATCGAGGGCATTTACACCCGTGCTCGCGAGTCTACCTTGACGGTGATTCCTCTTCTGTCTCGTTTCCGCCTCGAAAGGACTACTGCCCCACCCCCGCTTGACCGATGGATTGGACACACCCCAAGCACCGCGACACCTGCGGACGAGGAGGATCTGGCCCCCATCGGGGGTGTGGACGAACACGAGGGCAAGAGTTTAGAAGAAGAGATGACAATTCTTAGCGATGCGAAGCGCCAAGAGCTCACTGTACGATTTAAGAAGGCCGCGGACGGTGTCTATGTCGAGGCCAAGCGGAGCGCCATCGGCGGTATGACACAGGTCCCCTTGTATTTCTACGGTTTGTTGCTGGCTCTTGGCTGGAACGAAATCTGGGCTGGTAAGTTTTCACTGATGAATCCTTCATTTTCGTATTACTGATGTACTGTCCAGTTCTCCGCAACCCAGCTTACTTTATCCTGCTATTTGCGTTTGCTATTGGCGCATACATCACTTACCAGCTCAACCTGTGGGGTCCCATGCTGAAGATGACTGAAGCGGCCTCCCAGCAAGCCCTGGAAGAAGGCAAGCGCCGCCTGCGCGAGTTCCTCGAATCCTCTGACACTGGCCGCCAGGCGATTGCTATGTCGGCTGGGGAGCGTGCTGGGTCTTCAGGCCGAAAGGAAGAGTATGAAATGTCAGATATGCAAAAGCGTGCCTCGAACGCTAATGACGACTTGGATGACATGTAACTTCTCTGCTTGCTGTTCTCTTCTGGCGATATCACCCTGTACTCTACTTTCCTACTTTCTGTAGCTTCTATATGCATACCATACCACACGGACTTTGGACTTTGGACTTTGGACTACAATCTCTTTGGAAATAGGACATCTGACTTTGACAGCGACTGCATGTAGACGGCCTAAGGCCTGTACTGCCTTCATACATGGATACATGGTTGTACTATGTGTGCATCGAACTCTTCGGCTCTTTCGGGGCTCTTTCCGGGGAAGAGGGGGGGGGTTATACTTGCAGGTGGGGACGTCGCGCCTTCCGAAAGATGATTTCAATTACCTCATTGCCACGCTAGCAAGTTACACAGGGCAGGTTGGGAAGGAAGGAGGGAACGAGGAGGGAATAACAAAGGATTTGGGATATCTACCGACACAGACGGAGCTCTCATAGACCCTGCCGTCTTCATTTGCATTGCATGGTCCATGCATCAGAACTCAACTTCTACATCGGTTCTCTTGGCAAGACTTAATCAGATCTTGTATCTTATTCTGCATTGTTGATATCTAGGCCGAACAAGCCCTGGGCAAAAGACCATTGAGCTCAGGTTTAGTCCCCATTTGATTCGACTAAATTGGCAATGAGCTCTTATTGCGGGGGTCATACCCACGTCAAGGGACTGGACTTCCTCCGAGGTGAGGGGGTCACCCCTCACTACTCTCACTACTTGAATTAGCTAGTGCTATTTGAAGCATTGAAGTTGTTCAGCTAATCTACTTCTCCAATCCTCTCCACCCGAACCATGTCCGGTATTCCTAATCTCCCAGAGACATTCGATGATCTCCCCGACAAGCGTCGGTTCTGGCCTGCGTCCGCAGGGTCAGAAGAAGAAGGGCTGGGGATGCTCCGCCTTCTAACACCCGGATTAGTTGCTCAAGCCGCTCGAACACAAATCCAGACCGGCGAGCGGGTATGCTTAAACTGGAACATGGAGAATTTGAACCCACCAGGTAAAATAAGGGCACCTGACCATCGGATAAACATCGAATAAAATAAGAAAACATAAGACTCACGATTCGTGAAATCAGGGTTCGGTCGCAAACCATTCGAGCACTGTGTCAAATGGGTTGCCGAGGGCAACGCCTTTGATGACGAGTACCACTTCAATCCACAGCAGTCCTCTCAGTGGGATGGCCTCCGGCACCACAATGCGCCAGCGCCAACACCGGAAGACCAAGACAGACGCCTCTTCTATGGCGGCACGAGCGCAGAGGAAATTCTAGATGAGAACTCGTCGCGGATTGGCATTGGGTTTTGGGCGAAGAAGGGTATTGCCGGACGCGGCGTGCTCATCGATTACGTCTCCTACGCTGAGAAGAAAGGCATCAGCGTAAATGCGCTGAGTCGGCAGATGATTTCACTAGACGAGGTGCAGGAGATCGCGCGCGAATGCAACATCAAATTCCAGCAAGGAGATATCTTTTTCTTGCGGGTTGGCTTGCCTGGAACGTGGGAGCGGATGTCGGTCGAAGATCGGGTGGCTTATAGTCAGCAGGCCATGCCGCAGCATGCTGGAATTGAGCAGAGTGAGCGGGTCTTGCGCTTTATATGGGATAATCATTTTGCGGCTGTTGCATCCGATGCTGTGAGCTTTGAGGTTTACCCGGCTCTGAACCCAGAGTTTGACTTGCATCATCATCTTCTGGCTGGGTGGGGTGTTCCTATCGGGGAGATGTTTGATTTGGAGGAGTTGGCTGCGACGTGCAAGCGTTTGGGCCGTTGGAGTTTCTTTATCTCGAGTAGTCCCTTGAACTGCTCCCGGGGAGTGTCTAGTCCACCTAACTGCATGGCTATTTTCTAGCTATCATATAATAAGGAGTGTTTATGCCAGGGCAATTTGAATTCAACTACTATATGTACCCATACGATTCCATCGAGATGTCCCATGCCGCATGCTTTAAGCCAGGTATATCCCGCAGGGGTTTATAGATTTCCCGCAGTACATGGTCCAGCAAACCATCAGACCGCACACTCTTTTGGTCCCAAGGGGAGCTGATTTGGCCCTTTGTAAGAGCCCTTTGTCAGAATCTGTACATCATTCTTGTGGGAGATCAACATTTACCTGCCAAGACGGTTTTGATTTTACGCATTCCAACCCTTTTCCCCTTCCCTCCAGTGCCCTCCTTTGCTGCAAAATACTACTTCGTACCTGAATACACTATTAAATTCCTACATTCCACACGCTCGAGACAGCTGTGTTTTGGGACTATGTTTACCCAACCCAGAATGATCATCGCGGCCCATTGCTTCTTAAATACCATGAGACGCAGTTCCCCTTCAGGTTCCTCAACCTAATTATTTTTCATACCATCGACACTATCTTTAACGCCTTTCCTAGCCGAATAATTACTTTCTTTACCAGACCACGATCCTTGACCAAGATGCACTTCTCTAAGGTGATTCCATCCATCTATCATCTGCACTCAGATGTATACAACTTGCTAACACAACGCAGACCCTTGCCACCGCGGCAACCTTTGCCATGACTGCCTACGCCGGCTTCCCTGTCGCCAGTGTCAGTTTCCTGTCCTGGGAGAAGTGCGACGTTGGCCACCCCGCACTCGGCGAGCCCAAGTTCTCTGCTGAAGTGAGCGCCACTCCGGTCACTTGTGACAAGACCACCGTCAACCGCGACTGGAGCATTGACAACTACTCCTTCCGCGCCCGCATGGACACCGAGGACACATTCTCCTGCCACGGTGTGACCATCTGGAACAACGATGGCTGCGCCGGCGAGCCTGTGCACTTCCTTCCTTTCCACCACGGCCCCTTCGCCGAGGGCCAGTGTCTCCCTGACATCCTTGAACCTGGCTATGTCTCCTTCAAGCTGGCTTGCCACGGCTTCCACTAAAAATGCGTAAATTTGGTTCTTACGCAATGACAACTGTCGAGATTGCCACCTTGGATTCTATGAATGCCTTGGATTGGCGATACCTACGTTCTTTTGTTGTCCGTTTTCTCTTATGTACTTTTTACTTGGCTTTGACCACTGTTATCAGCGTGGTATTACCGAGTACTTCCTGGGCTATGGTTCCCATGAGATTATTCTTCATAACATAATGTTTCCTACTATACAGTGACCTCAATAATTTGATGCTCATTTACACCAAGAAACTCATTCCGAATCAACACCAGAAAACACATCGTATTTCGAATTCGGTCTTCCACATAGGCAATGGCAGAAGAGTAAATGCAGAAAGGGAATGGGCCTCCCGGCAGGACACGGTCCAGGAAGCACTCAAACTGCACCTTTGGGTCTAGGGCGACGAACATAGGACTTTTGCCTCATTAAGAAGGTTTGACGTTGCTCTTTACTGTAATATACACTCGTGACTATAAATACTAGGTGATATCTGAACTTCATACAATTCCCCATTGCTATCATGTAAGTGAGCTCTACTACACCACGAATTGCGTTATGTACAACTGATATATTCGTCATTAAAACTATTCAAAAGATGCTCGAGTCGTAAATGTTCAAGCTCCTTAGTCGACTGGTATAAAATATGGCGGGAGGAGCTCCGTTGCTTACCTCCGTAAACAATATATTTGAGTGTTCCGATTTATATGTTTGAATAACCCCCACAGCTCGATTATAGCATTGCTCTGATTCTGAGTTCAAATTATAAAGTTTATAACGCCTTTAGAGTAGAAGATGAACTAATTAGTGTACGAGCTTTTTATACGAGGATGTGCAAACTGGACCTGAAGGTAATTATGAAGGGAGACTCCCCCCTCTTCATCCGTCTCCCGCGCCAAGAGTTTGTACATCTCGACTGTTAAGCCATCTAGCCCAGCCGACTTGCCTGTAGCCGCCCGCCTGTACCAAGAGGTTTGCTTTTTACCTGCTACTGTACATTCGTTACATATCTAACTACATACGTAAATACATATGTACCCTCGAATACTGATTTATTGAACTTGGAAGAATCTATGTTGGCTACGAAGTGAACGTTCATAATATACAGGGGTATCCCGTAGAATAAGACATATGCACAATGAACAGATTAGACATCAGCCATCGAAATTGAAGAGATCATGCACGCTCAATCGTGAATTGCAAAGATACCTCCCATCTTTGACCCCCGGCACCATATCCGCCACCCAGTCTGTTGCGAATCAAGCTGGATATCTTCTCCCGTAGGCGGACAAGATTATCCTCAGAACCATTGACTCGGAGCTTCAGGTTTGCCATACATAGGCCATAATGGACCTGCCAGAATCGAGCGTCATCAATGCCGAACACGGCAGCGTCGGCTTCAATATCCTTGATCACATCAGAAACTCCTTGACCGGAGTAGGACATCAGAAGCATGGAACCTAGAGTCTTCACCAAGCGAGTTCCTAGGAAGCACATGGAGAAGGCAATGGTGCCGGACAGGAGCTTATCGAGCCAGTCATAGATCCGGATTGAGACCAGAGGTAAAAGCAGCAGCAGAGTTGAACAAGAGAGGGTGAGGAAGTGCGATGGGTTGCTCAAGACCGATGGAAGAGATTGGATATACCCAAATCGCATAGCCTTCCCAATTCGAGCATGGTTCTTGAGACCAATTGCTGACACAAGCGTCGATGAAATAGCTAGAACTGCAGTCACATCCACACTACCAAGAGAAACCCGATCATGTTCGTGCGGGTGGTGAGGCTCATGTCCAGCCTTTTCGAGGAAATGTTGCAGATTGTGGGAGATGAGATCCATCCCCATAAACAAAAGAAGCACAGCCATCGCGAATCCGGCTAGAACCTCTGCACGTTCGAGGCCGAACGGGTGGCGGATAGTCGATCTCTTCCAAACCTCAAAATTGCCCAGTACATCAACCGCAACACACAAAAGCGCCCCAAGGGAATCGAATAGAATCAGATGCGACAATGCTGTCATGGCCAAGGAGCCATGTGCAGTCCAGAGTGTGTACGCCGCAACGAACATATGGCATAGACTCCACCAGAAGCGGGTCTTCTGGTCCTTCGACATGCTAGATCTGCACTCTTTCAGAGTTGGCACGGGCAGGGAGTTCGGAAGGGCTAGGGGCGCGCGAGGAGGAGGCTCGAGGAAGATCTGGTGCGAGATGCTACTGTGTTTGTACTTGTGGCCACGGCGTTGTCCCATGTTCTGAAGCACAAGGGAATAAGTTAGCACTGCCACCATCACAGGTCACCGGCGCTATTCAACTAACCGACTTGACCACTGGGCTCTTTGCCATAACAGTAGTGTTGAAATTGAATGGCCCGGCGGGGGAAGTGTCCCCCGAACCATTCTCGACCGGTGTCTCTGCATCTTCAGGCGAGGTTGCCAAATTGAAAGAGGACTTCGTGGGACTCAGAGTATCTCTGCGTTCGGAATCCATGATACCCTTCGGAAATGAAGCCTTAAGCGGCGATAAGGAATTGCGATCAATGGGTATCCCTGAGTTGATCTGGGAGGCATGTTCGTCATCCGCTGGCGGTGTGGGCGTGCGCGGCGGGAGAGGGAGAGGAAGGTTCGAAGCCATTCTGGCTTTGCGAACAGAATGTCGTTATGAATTGATGGTTCCTATGTATATACACATGAGCACATACATATGTAAGTTCTGGGGTTATCAACCCCCCGGATGAGCCCCGGTGTTTCTGCCGATCATCACGTGGGCGGCCTAAAGGCACCCCGAAACCTAAAAGTCTTAGCGCATTTCTGTATCTTAGCCTCTGAAATAAGTGATTGAATGCATGAAGGTAGGTCTATGGGGATTATTTGGACAACAAGAGGTGAGAGAGGAGTCTCAGAATTTACTGTCCCAATAGGGTTAAATCTTATTTGATACAAGCCTATGACCTGCAGAAACATGCACAGTTACGAAAGACTTCATTGGTTGTGGTTGTCATACCATAAGCGGGCGTGGGGACCCCCAGGGCTTCCAAGGTTGTTCCATACTGAGCAGCTATTTTTCGGACTTCATCTCAGTAACAGCTAGTATACACAGAGAGAAGTAGTTGCTATACCGAACATGGGCCTAAGGGGTTAGGCACATGAGTCCATCGGAAAGGACTCGCGTATCCATGGCAAACATCCAAATTGGTTACCTACACACACACTAAGCAGACTTGTTGTCTCCTCTCTCCTAGATATTGTTTGAGAAAGTATTCTTAGGGTTTGTCAAGATGAAAAATGTATGGTAAAACTGATTTGTTTGAAGCAAAAGTCAAAAGTCGGGGTCATGAAATCAATTTGCTTCGCGACGTTCAGCAATAATTTACAAATTTACACTATTTCAATATATCGCTTCAACTCCCTATAACCGAGTTAGTCTTGTATTCCCAGGTGGCACAATATTTCCGACTTACCAATCAGTCACAGCCTCTCTCCAAAGACCCAATTCGTGCTGTCTTGTGGCTGTGAAGAAATCTACAAACTCCGAACTCAGAATCTCCCGTGCAACACTTCCTGGGGCCGAGAATCGGTCCAAAGCCTTGTCCAAAGTATTGGGAAGAAGTTCTGGGCGGTCCCCGGGAGTGCGTGCAGACATCGGTGGGACCTTGATCTCAATCTTTTTTTGTACACCCCTCCAACCGGCTGCCAGGATGACACTCAGCGCATAATGGGGATGTAGATCAGCTCCAGGAATGCGGACTTCGAAACGCGTGGCACCTGGCTTGCATACTGGTGGCGTGATAAGACGGATTGAGGCAATCCGGTCCTCAAGTCCCCAGCTAATGTGCACAGGTGCCCAGTAGTTCTCAACGAGGCGCTTGTACGAGTTCACAGTCGGCGCAAACAATGGCAGTAATATCTGGGAGAGCTTCTAGAAGCCCTGCGAGGAAATGACGTCCTGTGTCTGAAAGGTGTGCGATGTCGGACCATTGGGGGTTTGCCTCGGGTGTCTCCCTTGCAAACAGGTTCTTCCCATCATTGTCAGCAAGTGAAATGTGGATGTGTCCGGAGCTGCCTGGCATGCCTTGCATGGGCTTAGCCATGAAGCATGGTGTAACGCCGTGGTCAACGCCTAGGGATTTGGTTAAGAGTCTGTCGACTTATTAGCTCTGGAAGCAACCGACGGTTTGCGGGGTTTGCCCTACTCACTTGAATAATGCCACTTTGTCTGCCATTTCGCTAATCTCAGAAACCTTCAAGGCCTATGTGGAGTGTCAGATGGGTTCATGGAAGGACCTGGATGGATGACATACTGCTTCATACACACCGGGCCCGCCCTCAGTGTGCCATCCTTCAATGCCGCAGTTGATCTGCGCACTTGTATTGAAAATATCGTAGAAGTACTTCTTGTTGGCAACCGGTCTCGTTGAGCTATAGCAGAACATTCCAGCTGTAATTGGTCGAAGGGCGCTAGGGGCATTTTTCTCTAGGAAAGTAGCGAGGTTGGGATGCTGGGAGCCTGCACTGCCGTATCCGTCTTCAGAAGGGGTTTGGAAATTCATAAATTCAAGTTCGACTGTCTGATATCAGCCTTTCAGATCCCCTCACCGGACTTTCCAATGACTTACCTCCAGCTAAAGCATGAAGTCCCTCCCCTGCAAGCTTATCGCACAGACTCCTCAACATACTCCTCCCATCTGCAGAAACCGGACGTGTATCATCAAGGAATCGCACTAGAAAGAACGGAATGTTTTCTTCCCAAGGTAGACGGCGGAACGAGTTCAGATCTGGGACAGCCAGGAAATCTGCGTACCCTGACTCCCGGGGTGCAACCCGAGCATCGGTTGTCCATAGCATATCGTGCATGTCCCAACCGAAAAGGGCTGAGCTGAAGCCGAATCCCTTTTCCGCAATCCCAAGGAACTTCTCCTTGGCCATAACCTTGCCACGCAGCACGCCATCGCTGTCGATACCGGCGACTTTGACTTTGATGTCGTCAGCGAGAAGGTTGGGGAGTGATTCGACAGTGATCATGGTGGGCGTCGTCATTCTGAGAAAATTCAACAAATAGCAGCACTAATTGACCTAGTCCAACAGTGGGGGTTCGAATTGAAAGAGACAGACATTTCGCCGGCCCTGTGGCTTTATACAATTGCGTGAGTAGTGGGTTGCTGAGGTTGCGGGTCCAACATGTGGTCAACATTAATGCCGCGCATCTCTGAGGTCGAAAATAATCCCGCGCGGTGCAGAGGGCAGACGATCGCGCGTAATATTTTTACACGCAAAACAATGAACGTCATCGGTGAAGCTATCACCGGACGTTCTCTCGGAGATGCTCCGCGGTCCGCGCTGTGGGGTCAGTGGGCAGCGCGCTTATCGTCGTGTCGAAATGGTACGTAGGAACAAAACTTGAGAGTCGAAATTGAGATAAAACATATTAACCTGATGGGTTCGTTTTCCATGGTGAATCTAAAGCGGAAGTACACATCTCCAATATGACACCCTCCATTCGCATTCATGTCGCCATTCTCGTGTGTGACACGCCTATCCAGCCTGTCCTCGATAAATATGGTGACTACTACGCAATGTTCCAAGCCCTTTTGAGGCAGGGCTTCAAAGACTTGGAAATATCTGAGTCCAAAGACGTCATAGTCGAATTTAGTGAACATCAGATGGTGGACAATAGCCGATTTCCTGATCTTGAGAACGTCGACGCCGTTCTTCTGACAGGAAGCAGTATGTTATTATCCATTTCAATATCCGAAGAAGGCAACTGATGTTAGTTGGTAGAACATGACGCCTGGGCTGACGATCAATGGATCCGTGATCTCACAAGCAACGTTCGTGAGGTTGTTTTAACACACAAGAAGCCCGTGGTCGGGATTTGCTTTGGGCATCAGATTCTTGCTCGGGCGCTGGGAGCTCGAGTTGGCAGAAACGATGCTGGGTGGGAGGTTTCTGTCGAGAAGCTCACCCTGACTGACGCCGGGAAAGAGCTGTTTGGAAAGGATACACTGGCAAGTGAAGAAATACCCGAATAAGTTCAATTGAGCGGGATCCTGATTGAATACAGAACATTCAACAAATGCACCGGGATATTGTCTTCGATGTTCCAGTTGATTGCACGAATCTGGCTACAAGTCCAAAGTGTGAAGCTCAGGGTCTTTACTTGCCCAAGCGAGTGCTATCGGTACAAGGGCACCCGGAATACAATGAAGGAATCATGTCATTTCTGCTCGAAGCCAGACATGAGAATGGGTTGTTTGATGATGAATTGTATAAAGATGGGTTGTCCCGAGTGGGCGATTCCCATGATGGGTGGTTGATAGCAAAGGTAATTGCAAGATTCATATTAGATGCGAAGACCAAGTAGTTCGAGCAGATACGAATCAAGAGACAAAGGATAAAAGTGGAATAATAAAATAAAATAATAAAACTATAAGCTGTCAGATCTGCAACCGCGCAATCGGCTCCGCGCTATAAAGCCCACCTCTCCCACCTTTGGGATCCTTCTCTTTTTCCAATACCAGATACACAACCTGCGCTATGTCAAACCAAATTCGAACTATCTGCCCCTCAACGCACAAGGTCATCTTTGACCAGCCTGGCACTTCACTCGAAGAAGCTATCAAAGTTGCCGTCGCCTCAAAGCAAGCCTTTGAGTCCTACAGAACAACCTCTCTGGAGGATCGGAAAAGCATTGTGAAACGAGCGCTGGACATTATTGAGCAGCGTCGCGATGATCTGGCCAGAGAACTGACTGCACAAATGGGCCGACCCATCCGGTACTGTGCATCAGAGATCAACACTATGCGTCTGCGCGCTGAGTACTTGATGGATATTGCGGAAGAGAGCCTGTCCGATCTCCCTGGTCGGCCAGAAGCCGGCTTCCGGCGAATGGTCAAGCGTGTTCCCGTGGGGCCAGTGCTTATTGCGGGTGCTTGGAATGTGAGTGAGCACTGCTATTGATGTATTCTCAGACTTGCTTATCGATATAATAGTATCCTTACCTAACTACTGTCAATGCCCTTGTCCCGGCACTTCTTGCTGGTAACACCGTTATCCTGCGCCCTTCGCCGCAGACCCCGCTATTTGGAAATAGACTACTCGAGGTCTTTACCGAGGCAGGGCTTCCGTCTCAGGTCCTTCAGGTCATTCATGTTGGAAACCTGGATGTTTTGGACCAGGTGGCACAGATCCCTGAGATCCAATCTGTCTCATTTACCGGATCAACTGCAGGTGGAGTCAGACTCAGGGAGGCAACCGCCAAGCACATCAAGCCCGTCAACCTCGAGCTTGGTGGAAATGATCCTGCATATGTTCGGCCAGATGCCGACGTGAAGCACGTCGCAGAGCAACTCGTGGACGGAGCTGTTTTCAATTCCGGACAGAGTTGCTGTTCCATAGAGCGGGTATACGTGCATGAGAAGATTTATGATGACTTTGTTTGCGCTGTGCAGGAGGAGCTGAAATCGTGAGTTTGATTACGTTCAAAAGAAGGATATCTCTCTGACATTCAGTCAGGTATAAACTCGGTGACCCGCAGGACCAAAGCACAACAACAGGCCCTGTCATCTCAACGCAGGCCATGGAAAAGATCGCTGCTCATGTCAAGGATGCAATTGCTAAAGGAGCTGTCAACTCTACTCCGCAGAATCCAAGCTTCGAGGTGGCGAGCAACCCTCAGCTCCAAACAGGGAACTTTGTCTCTCCGGTTGTGTTGACCAATGTCAACCATACCATGGCTACGATGAAGGAGGAGACTTTCGGTCCTGTGATGCCAATTATGAAGGTATCCGGTGACGAGGAAGCTATTACATTGATGAATGATAGTGATTATGGTCTGACGGCGAGCGTCTGGACGAAGGATATCACTCGCGGAGAGGAATTGATCGATCAAATTGAGGCCGGTACAGTGTTCATTAATCGCTGTGACTATCCGAGCCCGGTAAGATATTTCTCCAATTTCTAAATCGACTTGTCACTGGTTCTAATATTGCATATTAGGATCTTGCTTGGACTGGCTGGAAGACATCAGGTTTGGGATGCACTCTTGGGCCACGGGGTTACGATGGATTCGTGAAGCTGAAGAGTTACCACATCAAGGATGGCTCGGCATGAGTAATTCGTTTTGGAAATGGTTAAATAGTGTCATAGTTTGGAACAGTTCAATATTATTTCAATATTGTTAGATTCATTCAATTATTTTATTATCTAACCGTCCGAGCATGCCCAGTGTCTCCTATAACTCTTGACTTAGAACCACAAGACAACACACCATAGCCAACTCGGGGGGATTTACAATTGAGGTACCACGGATGAGTCGTATGAACATCCATGTATATCTGCATACTCCGTACAACATACGGAGTACTCTCCAACATATTGTATGAAGCTCATCCAAATATGCCCCACTATAGCGCGGTCCCGGACCGCGCTGCCTTAGCCGCGAGACCCCACCAAAGATAGTCCACGATACCCGGAAACGCTTCATGCACCTAAATGATAGAAGATCTACCTGACAGCTACCCCTCATGCCCCGCATGTCGAGCTCACCGCGCCGGCGGGCGGGGTAGTAGGAGCGCGATAGAGCTTTGAATTCAAACCGCATTATTGTAGATTGAAACGAGAAAAAGGGAATGGAGAATGTAGCGCGTGGACTCCATGACTGGGTCTAATTTATCATGTGGGCTGTATATTGGAGACTGGAAATGGTATAAATTCAGGCTTTTACCAAGGGCCTACCCCTCCCGGTCTTATTCACTCTTGTCAACTACTGAAAACTATTCCAGCAAACTGTTCCAGTTTCTCTCTAGTTCCTTCTATCATATCACACACGCAATATCAAAATGGTCGGGCGTCTTGAAGGCAAGAATGCCATCGTTACCGGCGCAGCTGGGTATGTGTCTCTAATCACCTATGACGAACCGAACAATCAAAGACACACCTAACAAAAGCAGAGGCATTGGCCTTGAAACCACAATCCTCATGCTCCGTGAAGGCGCCTCCGTCCTAATGGCCGACATCAGTGACGAAGGCTTGAACAAAGCCTTGTCCAAAGTGAACAGTGTCGTGCCCGCCTCAACCCGCACCGGAAAAGTCGAGACTAAAGTCGTCGACGTGTCGAATGAGTCCCACATCGAAGCAGCAGTCGCTCATCTCGACGCCTGGGGTGGACTAGATATCATCTTCAATAACGCTGGAATCATGCACCCCAAGGATGGAGATTCGGAGGAGTGTCCCGAGGATATCTGGGATCGCACAATGAATATCAATGTGAAGGGCGTGTGGTACGGCTCCAAGCATGCTGTGCGCGCATTCCGGAGGCATGGCAAGAAGCGCGCTAGCGTGATTAATACTGCTAGTATGGTTGCGCTGGTTGGGGCTGCGACGCCGCAGTTGGCGTATACCGCTAGCAAGGGTGCTGTATTAGCAATGACTCGGGAGCTGGCCATTGTCCATGCCCGCGAGGGTTTCCGATTCAATTCGCTCTGTCCTGCACCTCTTAAGTATGTTGATATTTTGCCCCTTTCCCGTTTATAACCTTCGATGGAACTGACATTTAGATAGCACGCCTCTCTTGCAGGATTGGCTTGGTGATGATAAGGAAAAGCGTTTCCGTCGTGAGGTCCATTTCCCTACCGGTCGGTTTGGTGAGGCAGTTGAACAGGCCCATGCGGTGATCTTCCTTGCTAGTGACGAGAGCAGTTTCGTGAATGCTACTGACTTCGTCGTCGATGGTGGCTTGACAAAGGCATATGTTACGCCGGAGGGTCCGGCGACGGAAGCACCGAAGAACTTGGCTGCATGAATGGATGGCGACTTGGTAGTTTTGTACATAATATGAGTAACAGAATGACAATACATCACGCAAATGAGATCCATATTTGGTTTTGCTGCATTGCTCGACAAATATTCCAAGGCCCGGCCTCGGACGCAGGTGATTGCCACATTGCTTCGAGGAGTAAAAGTGTTCGGTGCATATTTCCAAGACCAAATGTCTCGGTCATGGCATTCAATCGTCCTCGTAGGCAGTCTTGTTGGTCGGGGTTGAGAAGGCATGAACCCACCACAGCAATCGGCCAACAGAGGCCAGAGTTGATGCGCGCACTCGGAGACAGCTCACCCAAGTATGACATGGCTTCTGTCACTGCATTTTCCACCATGCCTTTATACATTCCATCACTGGTGTATTGGAAGCCACCTAGGGAGGTGTATAGATAGACGAGTATGGCTTCTTGGAAGATTAACCCAGCTAGACGGACCTCCGTCCCGACATTGGGATAAGGCGACCAGCGTAGAATCTGGGCTTGGATGGATGCGAGCATGGCAATATCATCAGCTGTTGGAATGACCGCTTGCGTATCATCCATGATCCACTGCCGACCGAGATCGAAGATACACGGGATCAGCAGCAATAGTTCCAGCCAGCAACCGCACAGGTTGCCCACGTACTGGGTTCGAAGCAACTCGCGCGACCGTTGCTCAAGATCCAAGTTTAAGAAGAGCTGCCCACTAAAGCGAGCATCGATCGAAATCATACTGACGGTCGCAGTATAGGTGTAGTATTCGATGACGAAATCTTTCAAGTCTCGTGGAACCGCTGAGTCGCTCTGGGCAAGCAGTTTGACCAACAGTGAATTTGCGGCGGATAAGTGGTCGAATATTGTCCCGTTCATATCACCCTTTGCTGTCTGGTTTGGTTAGACTATCGAACACATCATTTTCGAATCATGGATTTCCTACCTCGGTAAAACACATCAGAAGTGCTCCCACTAGGAGCATGAGAGGGTTCGATTCTTTCCCGTCGATAAAGTCCGTTACTCCACGACGGAAATGCTGGAGGGCTTTTGTGTAGTGGCTGTGGGCAATTGTATCTGATTCGTCCCGTGATCGAAATGCGCGGTGAGCGGCGCTTTGAGTGATTACCAGCTGCAATAACAAGTCACTAGAAAATGCCAGGGGTACAATCTGTACCAGAAAGGGGTTGATAGGCGTGGAGCCATTCGCCATGCAGTCGGCCGTTGTGGCCAGGTAATGACTGAGAAGCTGATAGGACTCGGCATCATAGCCAGGCAGCAGGGATAGGCTGCGCGGCAGCACGTTTCCCATTGATACAGAGGCGACAAGAGCATCACTGGTAGTGGTAGCCCCTGTAGCTGTTGATAGTCGGCGTTGATTATGGGTCTCCTCATGCAGCGTCGTATCTTCAAAGTGGTCTCCAATAGTCACTGAGTGCCCTGCACTAGATGCAACAGATGGCGCTCGTTGCGATAAGGGACTCCTAGGCATCGACATCTCATCGAGCTGCTCAATGGCATCGAAAATATTCGGTCGGCACTCATCTGCCGCAGATGCTTGAGTTTCGTGCTCGTGGCTGGGATCTCTCTTGCCAGGTACATCTGGAGGCCACTGGCAGGCCAGGTCATTGCGCTGACAGCCAGCACAGATTGGACGTGTCTCGTCGCATTTCTTCTTGCGACGCCTGCAAGTCAAACAACCAGTTCTTACTCGGACAATTCGCTGCACACGTCGATCTGGCGGCATATTTGATTTAAGGAGATCAGAAGAAGGCAGGACAGGGGATCTCAGCACCAATCGTATCTCTGTGCAGAACTGATAAGAAAGTGTGGGGTAACCTTGGCACTCCCGCAGCGTTTACAACTTAGAGAGGCCTACTCCGTATACAAAACACTATCTTGATAGTCATTGTATCATTTTAATATTTTGACCTCTTTGATTGTATGTATCAAGGTCAATTCGGCAGCAAATTCTCCATTACCACAGTACTGCATTTCTCTCCGTAGCCCTGGACCTCAGCTTCCTCGTGCCGCACATTGTTATAAATGCAGCAATCTAGCACAGAATTTCACAGAAGATTTCTGGGAAACTCCGATTCCGGTCCCGACCTACCCCAGTAACCTAAGGGGTCATCTAACTTGAAATGGCCGTGCATTGGAGAAAAGGCCTTGTTAACTAATGTTACATGCTGCAACAATAGCAAGGAGACGAACCAGTACACGACCATACCCGCCATGTGAATTCTGATGCGTACAGGATCGCTGGGTGGTACTGCTGCTCTTTTGCTTTCATTGGTTGGACATTTAGTCCTCTCAGAAAAATGACTACCAAAACAAGAAAGAATTAGGCATCGCCGTACAAACCGGCGGTCTCAGACAAATTACAACGTAAATCGGACTACTCGGAACGATCGGACATCCGAAGAAATACTCGCATACTTGCCACCAATGTCGCCAGCAAATTCACGAGCAAGTTGAGGCTGCATGATCCCGGGGATAGCACTCTGCACGTAGCGGACATAAACCAGCATGAGCGTTAGCCATTAAGAAACATCCCGGAACCGGGATAAGCCATGCACCGGTCTCCCAATGTGGCATATGGTATTGGCGATCAGCTACTGCACGTGACCCATGTGCCGAAGACCCGACAATCGACGCCTAAGGCTGCAAATGGAACGAATACCGGCTTCTCTCCGCATAGACACTGCCCTAATGGCAAGTCAAGACGGGCCAGGCCGCCGGTATCCAGGAAAAATTGTGATGACCAGAGGGGCAATGGGATCTGGCCAGGGGTCATTCTTGTGTCAAGCTTTAAGTACCAGCCAATCACTATGCTCAATATTGCAAATTGGAGAGTGGGTTTTCTTCCGGCGGTGTTAAGGTCCATTTTTGCATTATCGCCGTTCGCAGTGGTTGGAATATGATGCCGTCTGTCTGCCTGATATTTCTTTTTTTCCCTCTGTGGCTACTGATTTGATATAAAAAACGTTCCCCGTTGCTGAGGTCTGGTTCTTTTTCCCTAGAGAATCAGTGTCGCGTGCCCATTTAGTTGGCTTCGCCTATATAATTTTTTCATTCTTTCCGCAATTATTGTCGATTGGTTCTCCGTAGGAGCATCGATCATGTCAGATCATAAAGAATCTGGCTCGACCAGGTCTCATTCGGCATCAATATCCAGTACGGATTCCGAGTTTCAGGCATCAAGAACACAGTCACGACCTCAGAGCTTGGCTTGTTCTCTGAGGACGAGGCTGCGGTCTTTCTCAAATCCAGGAACGACCCAGGTGGATCGAGTTTACTCGGGACAACATTTCAATGACCAGTCAGTATATCACAGCGACGATGGGTCCAACTATGATGGACCGTCTGTCGAAAACGAACACGACGCCGATGTTATCCAGGAAGTGCGCAACGGGATTGTGAATGAGCGCGATCTGGACCTAGAAAAAGCCGATACTGCGGAGCCTGAACTTGAGAAATCCAGGACGACGAAATCGAACCGCTCTCGTCACGACCCAAAACTGGTAGGTTGCTTCATGTTCCCAAATCTGCACTCCGTATTAAGCCGTACAGGTAAAATGGGACGGTCCTGAAGACCCTGAAAACCCGAAAAACTGGAGCAACAAGAAGAAGTGGGCTGCTACCATCACTGTATCACTATTCACATTCATCTCGCCGGTCTCTTCGTCAATGGTTGCACCGGCACTGCCATCACTGGCAGCAGACCTCAAAGTCACGGACGAGGTAGTATCACAACTTATGCTCTCAATCTTCGTTCTGGCCTACGCTGTTGGCCCGTTATTCCTCGGGCCATTGTCAGAGATCTATGGCCGAACCATCGTTCTGCAACTCGCCAACCTCTTCTTCCTAGTTTTCAACATCGGGTGTGCGGTGTCACAAACGAAAGTCCAAATGATAGTTTGCCGCTTCTTCGCTGGACTAGGAGGTAGTGCCCCACTAGCAGTAAGCCAAGCCGCAAACCCCATCCCAAGAAAAGCTTATAGCTAACGGCATCTAGATCGGCGGCGGGATCCTTTCAGATTGCTTCCGGGCTGAAGAGCGCGGAAAGGGCGTCGCAATCTACAGTCTTGCACCACTCCTAGGCCCAGCTCTCGGCCCCATCGCAGGAGGCTTCATCGCCGAAAACACGACCTGGCGCTGGGTGTTCTATTCAACCTCAATAACTGACGGCCTAATACAAGTAATGGGCCTCTTCTTCCTACGTGAGAGCTACGGCCCGAAAATCCTCCTCGACCGCGCCGTCCGCCTGCGCAAAGAAACAGGCGACGATTCTTACCAAACAGAAGCAGAGCGCCAAAACAAGACCCTGCCCGAAGTATTGCGCAGCTCACTCGTCCGTCCCTTCCGCCTCCTCCTCACCCAGCCAATCGTCCAAGTCCTCGCGCTATTCATGGCCTACATTTATGGAATCATGTACCTCGTCCTCTCAACATTCCCCACCCTCTGGACAAGCCCAAATTACTACAACGAATCGACCGGAATCGGCGGTCTGAATTACATCTCTCTCGGACTAGGCTTCTGGCTCGGCTCACAGATTTGCGCCCCGTTAAATGACCGCATCTATCGCCGTCTCAAGGCCCGCAATGCCGATGTCGGGAAACCAGAGTTCCGTGTCCCGCTGCTCTTCGTCGGCGCCTTCTTTATCCCCGCTGGCTTGTTCATCTACGGCTGGACCGCTCAGTACCACTGCCATTGGATCGCGCCGAACATTGGTGCTGTACTGTTTGGTACTGGCAATATTATTGCGTTCCAGTGTATCCAGACTTACATGGTTGATACCTATACACGGTTTGCAGCTAGTGCGCTTGCTGCTGGTGCATTTCTGCGCTCGATTGCTGGGTTTGGGTTTCCACTTTTTGCACCGTATATGTATAGCGCTTTGGAATATGGGTGGGGGAATAGTTTGCTGGCATTCGTGGCTATCGTCATTGGAGTGCCGGCGCCAGTGTTTTTGTGGAAGTTTGGGGAGATATTGAGAAAAAAAGAGTACTTTTGCGGCTGGCTAGGTCATTGGCGAATTAGCTTTAAGATTAGTATGCTTCGACAGGATTTGTTAATTTATTAAATTTCTTTATTCCTTTATCATGAGACTAAGAAGTTATGGCGAGTACAGTATGTAATTCTTTTCGCATGTGTCCGGAGATTGTCACGAATGCCTCGGCTCTCCGGCTTCAGTTTCAGGCCGTATTGTATACGTTGTATCCATGTGTTCCAAATTGTATCTGACACATGGAATTTATGCGAAGCACATGCAAATCCTTCTTAGTTTGAGACACAGACATTCCTCTCCTAGACTTCCTCCAATCGACATGCGATCTGCAGGGGCTTCCAAGGTACTCCATAATTATAGGTTACCACACAGACAAATACGAACATTGAATCTAAATGGTATGACTTGCTTAATTTGATCAACTCTGCACCAAAATATCAATGTATGAACTATGTATACGATATGGTCAAGCCTTGTTTACATCCTCACCGAGGAGATACATACTACTGCGCTGATCTGATCGTAGGTCTACAGACTTGAGACAAGAGGGCAGCATTACTGGAGATGTATCATGCATTTACAAGAAGGTCGAGATGGGAGCAAAATTAATAGGGGTAAAAAGTGTGTATTTAGATAAAATGAAATATAGAGAAAAGAAAAAGAGATCGCAAAGCAGTCTATTTACATACTAGTCTGTCCGCTCTCCCGTAAGACGGGGGTATAGAGTATCTATGGTCACATAATAATGAGATCCGAGACAAATGATTAATCCAATTAGCTCCGCGAATGTCACTCAGCCGACATCAACCAAGGGCAATCGATGGTTGGAGCATTTACTCGTCGTGCTTGGCCTCACTGCCGCTGCTCATGGCAGCCTCAGCCTTCTCGGCTTCGGTGTTGACCCGGAGGTCGGGGGTATCGAGACCCAGCTCATTCTGCATCTGAGTTATTTCAGCGATGGAGAGCTTGGGCATCTGCTGTGCGACCTGGTAAGGCCACTTGCCCTCAACGTGGGCCTTGGCGAAGATAATGTCAACTTCTTCGAGATCACGACCGGCGGTCTCACAGTAAAAGAACCAGGCGAAGGGGATAGCGATAAAGTTGACAAGCGCGAAGAAGAGGTAGATACCCCAGTCGGACTGGTTAGAGAACACAGGAGTGAACATAACGACGGCGAAGTTGGTGATCCAGTTCATACAGGTAGAAGCGGAGGCGGCCTTAGTACGGGTGCGGAGGGGGTTGATCTCCGGGGGTAAATCCAGGGCAGAGGTAGCGTAGTAAAGGCGAAGAAGCAGATGAATAGGAAGATACCGACGATAGCACCCTTGGCGTTCTGCGCATTCGATTCGATGAGACAACCCATAGTGATTATGAAACTAAGACCCTGGCCGAGGAAACCAATCAAGAATAGGTTACGGCGACCGACCCTCTCAATCATGAAGAAAGATGGGATAGTGGCGAGAGCATAGACAGTGGCGAACACACCTCCTAGAACTAGGGGAAGCTTGCCCGTCATATGCAAGTTCTGCTCGAACAGTAGGGTCGAGTAGTAAATAGCAGCGTTGCAACCAGTGAATTGCTGGAAGAACTGACCAGAGCAACCAATCATCATACGCTGGAAGTTCTGAGTCTTACCACCAGTAAAGAGGATACCCCAGCTGCTACCGGCCTCAATACTTTGCATAGCCTTAAGATCAGCCTTCATAAGGTTGAAATCGGCAAGCACATCATCCGCATCGACAGCACTGTCGTTGAGCTGGGCGAGGACTTGAAGGGCCTCCTGGTCATGACCCTGCATGACGAACCAACGAGGCGACTCGGGAAGCATAAGAGCACCGGCAGTGACGAGGATAGCAAACACAATCTGGAAAGCGACGGGGAAACGCCACTGAACCGAGTTGTCGACATAGGAGAGACCAAAATCAAGCCAGTATGCGATGAAGGTACCGACGGCGATGATAGCACCCTCGAAGCAGACGAGGAAACCGCGATTGTGAGCGCGCGAACACTCGGACTGCCAAACGGGGATAGTAGCGGTGTCCATTCCGTTTCCAAGACCGGAAATGACACGTCCAACAACGAACTGTCCCAGTCCCCAGTGAGGGCCGAAGGCAGCAGTAGAGATAACAGTACCGAGAATCATGAGGAGACCACCGGACACCAGGAGAGGAGTACGACCAATACGTTGACCGTACATCATAGTGAAGATAGCACCAAAGAAACAACCGAGTTCGTAACAGGCAGTGACCGCACCACGCAGAACGGCGACGTGCTCAGAGTCACCATGGAGAGGGGGGGAATTCCTTGGTGAACTGGTTGCCAGAAATGATACCGGACATCAAACCCTGATCATAACCGAAAAGTGAGAATCCGACGACGGATGTAAAGGTGATGGCGACATGGAGCTTCTTGCCCCGCAAGCCGGAGGTTGTGGTCCACATGATGAACGTCCTCTATTAGATGAAGAGAGGAAAAGACCAAAGCGACATGAGGGAAAAAAAGAAAGAAAGCTCAGACACTGGGGAATATTCAGCTTATATGCATTCAGTCCCCATGTCCATTGGGTTAATGCCAAGTCGCGAAAAGCCTCGAGTGACATCGGCGGCGCTACCACATTGGATAGGCAAGTCTTGCGACCCGCCGTGGAGACCAAGGAAGACCAAGTAGGGCTAAGTACCTGGGGCCATGGGCCATGTTAGTGGAGTTGCGGGGATGCGACAAGAAAGTCTTGCGGTTTGCCAAGTGCTCCGAGCGGCTTGTGTTTACCGTTTGGGTCTTGGTACAATATGAAACCGCGCTAATCCAAACAATGCTGTATGGAGTCGCGTGTATTCACCTTCCTCGTGGTCTGCTTTTTTTCCTGTCCTCATGACTCCAGCGCTATGTGGGTGGATCAAATTGATTCCTGGAGACGCCTTCAGCCCAGGGGTCGGCCCCAGGGTTGCCCCAGGGAGGCTGCGGGAGCTGACAGCTGGAAAAGGAATCTTATCCGACCCTCCGCAGGGCTGCAAATACCCATGGGGAAGAGGAAATTGGGGGAAGGTGGGTCAGGGGAAGATCTGAAAGACCATTCGTCTGCTACGGGCTTACTAGTTGGTTTTTCTTTTTCCCTTTTTTTTTCTTTTTCTTTTTTCTTTGTTTTATTATTATTATTCCTTTTCTTTTCTCTGGCGCCGATTGGTGTGGAATATTACATACCCAGAAAGATCTCGTGAAAGTTGCCTTTTTCCTTCATGCCCGATGCCTCGGCCAGTTATGATGGTTCAGCCGTACAAAGTACATTAAATTTCCCGGGGGTTTTGTGTGAGATGTCGGCTTGAGCAATGACCATCGATCTCACAAGGCATACTCCGTAGTTACATGAGGTCTGTCGAATATGTAAGGGCTAACGGCTCGCGTACTCAGGTCTAACCCGTAAGCTCTTGATATGTTCCACTTGAGAGTTTCCCATATCGAAAATCTCATGGACATTTTTCGAATATGTCCGAAGAGGCGATGAAGCCTTCCCGAAGAAAATCGGGAATTAGGAATTATTCGGATACCGAAACATGTGTTTTACGGAGGAACATTGGAAGTCAAAAAAAGTTACAGAAAGAGTAAAAGTTGAGGTGGATCGATTTACTAAGATACTACCGCATTAGGAAATGATCATCCTTACCAGAGAGGTTGAAATGCGGGTATTTTTGCTTACCCCTACTTGGCTCATCCACCAAGCCTTCTTCCAAGATTCCAAGAAAGTATCGTCGGCGAAGCCTTTGCGAAGCCTTCGCGAAGACCTTGGCTGTACCCATATTTTGGCCCATACATATACATATACGCATATTGGCCCACCAAGGCATACTCGAATACAACATACACATAAAACAAAAAGCAAAGAATAATATGTGGCCCCACACAGAATCTCGGGTAGACACTGAAAGGGCAATTTCTTGGGATGCGGGCGTTGTCGGACTATTCATCTCCGATTTCATATTTGACCAGTAACATCCCTGCTCGCAGAAAATGAAAACGGAAAACTAGATTGGTAGACGTGCTTGTCACCATTTTATATTAAATCTTCCCGAGGGCCAATAACGTAATTCTCCGAGTTGTCCACGGGTACATATAGCGTCGGCCTAACAATTCTCTATACCTTCCCAAATCAGAACATGCGCTCTGTCCACGATGCCATGTTGGACGTACCTATCGCTTGGCACCCGTTTGGGGTCGCTTAAGGTGGCCCAAGACTCATCATACGAGGCGACTGGGAGCCGATATGTTGTGTACTTCGGACAGGGCTTGCAGATCACGGCAAAGCCGTTCGAAGAAAAACTCTCAAAACGCCATGATAAGATCTCAATCCGCCTCCTGTGGCGCTTCTAGGATCTTGGCGTCCCCTCGAGTTCCTCGTGGGAACCTTGGAAAACAGGGTGTCATGTGGCATGACTGAACTCCCCGCAAGTATCTTTGAGAGACCTCGGGATGTACTTGGAAATCAATCCCACTACCCCTGATTGGTTTGTGGAACACCCATCTACGTTGAGATCCAGCAGATATGAAGTCAGATCTATGACTAAAAAGTCCGAGCTATAGCAGTAATGTTTGTAATTGTGGTGGAAGAGAAATCGTTGAAATGTAGAGATTCGATAGGGCCAGCATTGAATTTTGGACAAGGCGGAGAATATTTCCAACCTTGGAAGTTTCAGCCCGAAGTGTACCAAATCTCAGATAAGCACACTATTTCACTATTTCACCTGGGCAATAATCGACGCGCTCGAGCTGCATGTGGCCAAAGGATTCGACCAAAGGATATCAGAAAGGAGGAAGGGGGAAATGGAGCTCATGCAGAAGGTCGCTTCTACACTAATATAACCCGTTTTATTGGCGACTTGTCTACATATCTCAAATCCTTATCATCCAAAAATCCGAGCATTATTGGTGGAGCAATATACAGTTTGATTGTGGATATATGTCCATATTTCGTGGGACAGAGATAAACTGGGGATGTCCCTATACCCATCAGTATAGCCTGTGTGGATCGTAGGTTGGAAGCCCTGAAGAAAGTCACAACCATCCGGCAAATCCACAACGGTTGCAAAATCGGAGAAGCCTCTTTAATGTGGCAGGACAACATAGCATTCGATCAACTTTTTATACACAAGGACAACTTCTTATGTCCACATCTAACATGGTAGTGGCAGTACATCATATATACATGTGTGGATCACTGGATTACCCAGTGATACCAGACTCCGTCTTACCGTTGTTCTGCAAATGATTAGCATCGAATAATGAAAGGGAAGAACAGGAAAGGATACATACCAGAGTGCGGTGGTACTTGATGCCGACGTTGTTTCCACTGGTCGCGTCATACGGTACAGGGCTGGCGTAGTCGTAGGTGGGTTGAAGCCCGTGGTAGGTATCCTTCACAACCTCAGCAATACCATGGCCAGCAGAGCACTTGCCCTTGGTGGCAGGAACGGCCCACGTAGAGGAATAGTTGTCGGTAGACATAGGACCAGGGTAAGTCTCGTTGAGGTAGACATTGCTGGTATCGACTTCCCAGTTGATATAGCCGGTCTTGTCAGCGACCATCTTCAGCAGGTTGGCGCCACAATCCCAGCGACCAAGCGAGGGTAAACCCCAGTTAGCAGACAGGGAAGCGACAATTGAGTAGTGGGTGTAGAAAGTGTCATCAGTGGTCCCCTTCAGGTGCTCTGGGATAGCACCTCCAACCAGGAAGCTGAAAACCCGGTTGGGATAGGAGTAGGTGTCTCCCTCGTCAAAGGTGAGCAGCACTAGGCTGTCCTTGGTGAAGTACTCGTTCTTCAGTAGGGGAGACAGGAAGCGATCGACCCAGTTGCCGGCCACAGTGATGTTCGTGTCGTGGGCGTCATTGGTCATGTTCGGTGTGATGAACATGTGTTGGGGAAGGCTGTGGTGCTTCAGGTCGTCGTAGAAAGTGGTGAAATTCTTGATTTGGCGCGGGCGCACGGCGTCGTCGGTAACCGAGTTAAACATAACCAGCGGGTTGTGCTTGCGCACGTACTGTTTCGGACCACTGAGGGGATACCGTTTGCCTTGGTAGCCAGCATAGGGCATGTCTTCTTGGTATTCACCCCAAGAGATGTGCTTAGTATCAAACAGATCGGCAATGGTTGAGACATTGGCAGGGATTTGTAGGAAGTCGTCATTATCCATGCCGAATGTGTCACCCCCGGCGGAAGCACAGTAGTTGGGCTGCGAGGGGTGAGAGATGGCAAAGTAGTTGGTCAGGAGGATACCCTCCTTGGCCAGCTTGGACAGGTTCTCATCTAAAGCAGCGGGTTCAAAGTCCTACAAAGGGTTGAGCATGTGGTCATTGTTATATATTCAAGGGGAAACCCACTGTGTTCTCGAGCCAGATGTTCACGAAACGATCAAAGGCCAAACCCTTTACGTTTGACACAGGAGAGTAAGGCAGGGCCGTAGCACGGGCCGCATCAATCTCAGCCTGAGTTGGGGTCTCTTCAGTGGTAGTTGTAGCCGCGGCGAGGGCGAGGGCCCCGACGAACGCGAGAAGAGTTTTTTTGGTGAACATGTTTGGAATCGCGATATTAGCTGCGGTAAAGGTAACAAAGGAGCAGATGGGTCGGGTGACACGCGATCTTATACTTCAGCCAGCCTTCCAAGGTTCCGGGCATATGACATTCCCCTTGGAAGAATGCCGTGTCACACGGCACTTGCTAACCGATACCACGTTGTGATCGATGCAGGGCTGACTGGCTGCATTCCTAAGCCTTCTCGCATACGGAGTAGTCAATGCTTGAACTGAAGTGACCCTCACGACCTGAATTGAATTAGAATAAATGTGATTTAATTGGGGGACTAGCACTTGGTGGACCGGGTACCTGGCCGCCGGTGGACCTTGGGTTTGCACGTTGTTGCTGTCCGTGCCCTAACTGGCTGACCCACTGGAGCTCAGGCCAACCTTGGAAGCACAGCACTTGACTGACTGACCATACACTCGCCTGCTTTTACAAATGTGATCAAAGATATCCGGAGTTTAATTCATCTATTATTAAGATTTTAGTGCCCAGACCTTGGGACATATGCTTACCATTTCTTGGCTTTTTCCTAACCTTGGAAATCTTAAGCCTTGAATCTCCACTCAGTGTTCTCAGTTAGAAGAACTATATACCTCTGCGTCCATGCTCCATATGATTGATATATCTAATAGCCAGCTCAGTTTCCAATTCTGAACCTGTATAATTATCCTGTTTGGAAAGTTCTGAAGGTCCTAAATATCGGTGAACCTACATCTTCTCATCCCTAACGCAGCGTACTTATAGATCCGACAACCTCAGCTCACCGGCAACACTTTTTCTCCTCATCGAGATGACTAGAAAGCTAATATACTATTACACTATGGGTTCAGTGACTCAAACACCCGTTGAGCCTTTTTTTAACTTCTCGTTTCTCGGATGGAGTGCTCAGATGTCGTGCGATTTCTCACCGAGAACACGAACACGGAGGGGAGCATTGTGGAGTCAAGGCTCTTCCCTATCGGTGATGAGATGACAAAAGATCGTAATACTCTGTTATTGGTGCAATTTCAACCAAGCGGATATGATGGTGGATTGACGCTAATACTTGTGCGTTTAGCTGCGGGATTGATGGATGCGGAGGCAGCTGCCGGGTTCATTGGCACGGAGAGAGCCAATAAATTACTGAATATACCTAGGTAGTCATGGGGATGGGCTCTTTATATGTCGAATGGGAAACGTCGCTGGGTGATGAGGTGACGCACCAAAGAAGCAAAGTAGGCTTTCTCTCCTTTCTGTTAACCGCCAACTTGATCGGTCCTAAGCTGTATAAGCATTGATACCAAATCCACACCGGTTAACGGATAAATTCGAAGACGCACTATGTAAGTAGAGTCGGGCAAAGACAGCGTGCAAAGTCACCTTGTAAAGAGGCACGACATTGAGGAAGCGCAACTAAAGAATTATTGGGCAGCTGAGAGCATTTTTAATCATGCTGTTTACAGTATCAGTGGAATAACCATTGTGAGAGATCAATGTGCATGAGCAAGTCTGGGTAGTGGAAGTGCCAGTTTTTATCGGTTCATTTGCGAAGAATCGGGCCGGTCGCTTGAAGCGGCTACTCTGTAGACGCTACAGGTTGCGGTAGACCTACCAACAGAATAGGTAAGTATGTTGACCCATCCAAGCCGGATCACGGAGCCAAGGGAATGGGCAGAAGATGCGGATAAACTGTAGTAATGGAAACGAAAGCGGTGCATCCACGGCAAAACCCCGCGAACCGGAATGCGCTAACCGTGAGATGAACTCATGTCGGAGATATCTGTCTCGTTCGGCAAGAACCTTAAACATATTCCTGTACCTACCTTTCTCTTCGAGTAGTACTGAGTCTCGCGAGCGCGCTGCATACGTGCTAGGATAACGTACAATCGAAATTGGACCGGAGAGAACCTGCCGGCCTCATGGGCCATTATAGACTGGAAGTGCCCGTTAGCCCTTTCTGCGTTGAATAGAAATATACTGTAGACGGAGGAGATCATGGTTTTTGGGGCTTGGCGATCCGCCAAAGTTGGGTTGTCGGGTCGGGTCGGACCTTTCCATTCAGATCTGAACAGGACCAGGTCGTGTAACGTACAGTAACCAGCGAATTTGAGACTATCCTCGGGAAGTCGACGCCCAATCTCAAATGGGCATTGAGAGGACCACCTACCTACCTACATTGATACATATATACAGATGTGGTAGGTAGGTGTCCATGTGGTCCACGGGTGATATCACATTAGGTAAGGATCGGGTCTATGCCCAGGTGGGTGCCCAAACTTCAGCCCCAGCTAGTTCAACCCGAAAGTGTCCAGTCAGTTAACATCTTACAGATATTGTGTGCCCAACGCACTTCAATTCTCATACCAGATCATATACATCTATTCACTTCACAATATGATCTCGCTCCTAGATCTACCAGTCGAGATCGTGTTGCTCATAATCGACTCCCTCCTTTCCCAATTCGCCGCAACGGAACCAGACAACGTTGACGCTTCTACCGCCACCCAAAAAGACTTGAACGCACTTTCACAAACAAACACATGGCTTTATGACCAGTTAGAAACTCGCTTGTACAAGTTCAATGCACAACATTGTGGCCAAACGTCATTGGCATTCGGCGCCTTCCACGGCTATGACGCTGTTGTGCAGAAGTCCCTGGCAGTAGACTCATCAAATATAAGACGAGATTTGCGATTTCCAACATACGGCTGCCAAATATTCCATTCTCCACTTTGCTGGGCAGTTCAAGGGGGTAACGTCTCTATGGTCAATACACTACTTCAATCTGGCGCTGATCTTCATGGAGAATGTGTCCACCATTGTTGTGATGCGCAGCTTCTTGGCCAGGCTGCAAAGAACGGTCATTTGGATATGATGAAAGACCTTGTAGGAAGAGGTCTCCGTCCAGAGATCATGTGGGAGACCACTTTCGCAAATCCCATGAATGAGCCAGCGCGCAAAGCCACTCTCCGTCTGGCTGCTGAGGGTGGCCACATTGCGTGTGTTGATTACACTCTCGCTACCGGGGAGTATGAAAATCTCACTTGCAAACAATACATGCACAAAATAGCGCTGATCGTGCCTGCCACAGTGGCAAGCGGTCATATAGAGTGTGCCCTGTTTTTGCTGAGTCGCAGCGGTATCCTTGAGAGAACTGGTTTCTGCAATTGTGGAGGCAAGCCTGCCAGGTCTCTCGCGTCCGATCTTCCCAAACTGGCCATGGTACTGGAAGATCCATATAACTTGGAGAAGTATGGACCTATGCTTCTTTACCTGGCAGCTGCTACCGGTTGTCCACCCTTATTTGAAGAGATGGTTCGATTGGGTGTTCATATTGATACAAGATTCTGTGGGGGCAACACGGCGCTCTGTCTTGCCGTAATAGAAGCAAGAGCACACGAGGAAGTAAAGAAATTGTTGGCGCTAGGGGCCGGAATCAACGTGGGGAACTCGCAGAACCAAACACCACTCTATCTTGCAACTATACTTCGGCTCAAGGGAGTGATGAAGATACTCCTGGATCAAGGTGCCGATATTGAAGCACGTGGGACCAGATCCGGGAAGGTCCAAACGCCGCTTTGCGTCGCTGTTGCCGATTTTGGGGTTCCCGTGTCAAACCAAAACTATCCAAGACGCGCAGCCCCCTCCCCGAGTAACGAGATTGTGGCATTATTGTTGAAGAATGGTGCAAACACTAACTATGCCGATCTAAAGTGTGGGATCACTCCTCTCTGGCTTGCTGTTCGGGGACACAGCACGCTTCAGCCGTCTAGCAGGGATGATATTGTGCGGTTGCTTCTTCAGAGCGGTGCAGACCCGAACCTAGCACTGCGAAACCAGTCAATCTTATTCTGGGCTATATCGCACTGCCACTATGATACGATCAAGATGCTCCTTGACTGCGGTGCCAATCCTAATGACTATGGGGCCAATTTCGATGGCTCAAAAACCCACCACTCGGGGAATCCGCTCTCGCCTCTGGCAAAGGCTATGAAGCTGAAAAAATATGGGATAGCTGAGCTTTTGCTTGATTATGGTGCAGACCCTCTTGTCTCGCATTGGAAGAAGGAAAGCTCACTAGTTCATGCGACCAGATCTAAGAATTGTTCGTTCATTGGGAAGATGATTGCTGCAGGCCTAGATGTGAATGAGTCTGTGATGGGCCATAAACCTCTCCATATGGCTATCTGGCAAGATAACGTTGAAGCGGCGGAATTACTGCTTCGTCGTGGAGCAGATCCGAATCTCACGGTTGGGGGGGACTTCATGCATTTCATCAAATTCAATGTTGTGGGCTTCACGTAGTAATGCTATGGTAGAGTTACTATGTGCGTATGGTGCTAAGGAACTATATGATACTAATGTTTACACGGATGGACGCACCCCACGGTTTGTTCCTCCAGTCTCAGAATACCTATGATATGACGAGCATAGACTGTTTAGATAGTTGCCTACGCGGATCATAATAGTCCATAAATAGCTCTTCCACTGTCCGCCAGCCATTTGTGCAGTGATTCTCAAAGAAGTCAACCAAAGACATGTACCGTAACAGTATATGCGAGGCGAATATACGAGACGAAAGTAACATAAAACAATACCAATCCTTTGTTCGTTATTCTTGACTCAATGACTATTACATTGCTATCTTGACAGGTAAAAGAAACAAGAGAAGGAAAAATTAATGACACCATCGATTAGGAGAAAGCGGCACGCAGCTCGTCCTCTACCGACATTGGGCCAGATTTGAGCCAAGAAACATCCCCTGGTGACATGCGGAGGGTAAGGTGAAGAATGAATATGAAATGAAGTAGGATGAGAGCCACCAGGGTAGAACGTGCACGCCGGGGGTAATATTTTTACACAGAAAGACCGCTAACACCGTTGTTGCCCAGGATTTACTCAGGCTTCTTGCCGACCATGAGGTACATGGGGGTGAAGAGGTTCTTCTTAGCACCTTCGACCAGACAGTCACCAGCCAAGGCCAGGCTGTCGGCGGTCTTCTGTGAACCCTTGGGGAAAAGACCGATGGTCTCACCGGCACCAACGAAGCGGTGGGCAAGGCCGCGGCCCCACCAAGTCATGCGAGCGATGGTGAAGAAGTCCCAGGGCGAACTCATGTGCTTGAAGGAGCCCGCCAGCGGGTAGTACCAGGGAATGGCGTCGGGGCGAGCAGCGAGATCCTCATGATGCTTCAGGTCAAAGCCAGCGTTCTTCATGGCGTCGAGACCCTCGGAGATACGGACCATGTTGGAGATACCGTCACCCTGCTCGATACCGAGACGGATGCGACGGTGCTCAGGATCATCGTTGTTGTAATCGTCGGTCATGAGCCACTCGTACACAGCGAATGTACCACCGGGCTTTAGGACACGGAAGATCTCGCTGTAAACACCGACAAGCTCGGGTGCGTGGACGGTAGCCTCAATGGCGTACACGGCATCAAAGCTGTTGTCGGGGAAGCTCATCTGCATGAAGTCGCCCTTGACGAAGGCCATCTTGTCTGAAAGACCTTGCTTATGCGCGTAGTGAGTAGCGCGATCGATCTGGTAGTCGTTGTTGTTCAGACCGGTGACGTGAGCACCGGTGAACTTGACCATCTCGCGGGCAGGACCACCGACACCACAGCCAACATCCAGAACCTTCATGTCCTCCTTGATACCAGCCTGAAGGGCAAGGTAGTGTTCATGGCGGGCAATGGCCTGGTGGAAAGGCTCACCGTAGGCGAAGCGGCAGAAGTGGAACGAAGAACCCCATCCGTACTCGTAGAAGTCAGTTGCCAGGTTGTAGTAGCTGTAAGAGAATCATCAGTATGAGGGGTGTCGATCAATGGGCTTTGTTTCTGAACGTACTGTCGGGTCAAGGTGGCATATTCAGCCTTGCGAGCCTACGACGCAGGAACTGTTAGTGGTAGAACTTAGTTGATTTGGATGCGCCTTGCCATACCTCACGCATCTCGGGTGTCTCATCAGCAGCAGTTTGGTTGTCCCAGTGCTTGAAGTACTCATCGACGGCAGCCTTCTGAGCGGCGGCGTCCTTTCCGCGCAAGGCAGCGAGACCACCTTGGGCTTGAGCAGACTTGCCGTGCAAAACCTTGTTGAAGGCGGCATCGCGCGCCTTATCCTCACGTTCCAATGCAGAAGGAGCCATGGTGAAGAAACGAGTCGCAAAGATTAAAAGGGGTAGATTATAAAGGAGGCAAAAAAGAGTCAATTTCCAAGATTTTCCAAGAGAAAAAGACAAGGTAAACCAAGATTGGAAATACCACAAGAGAAGCGAAGCAAGAGAGGACAATTGAAGGGAATGGATAGCGACTTGGAGAAGTAGGAGAAAGGGGAAATAAATAAGAGTCGAATCCCAAGCAACTTTTTGACAATCCAAAAGTGGAGAGCCAATCAGGGGGTACCTCCGAACAACTAGACCGAGCTTTAGTGTCCTCTGGGGGGGGCTTGGGGAGTGGCCACACCCCTTTTTTCCTCGCGGGACACCACCTTCCGGCCTGTGGCTGAGTCGGACGCTGGACCTCCCGGTGGGAAAAAAAGTGATCTGAGGCATACATGCACGTGATTCACTAGCCACACTGCCACACGCCACCTCTATCGATCTTTGATAATCCAATCTTGGGAGCTCTCACCTCTCGGATCAACCAACCCCATACTATCCGACATGCCTCCCCAAATTAAGCATGATTTGAACCGATCCGGCTGGGAGTCGACAGACTTCCCTTCCGTCTGTGAGAACTGCCTTCCCGAAAATCCCTACGTGCAGATGATCAAGGAAGATCATGGCGCAGAATGCAAGATTGTAAGTCCTTTTCTTTTTGGCTCTCCCGAAGTCAACACATGACCACGTACTAACTACATAGTGTACGCGCCCCTTCACTATCTTCCGTTGGAAGGCCGATCGGACTTCCCGCCAAAAGCGATCCATCATATGCCTCACATGTGCGCGCCTGAAGAACTGCTGTCAATGCTGCATGCCAGATCTGTCGTTCGGTCTTCCCCTTGCCGTCCGCGATGCTGCTCTCAAAATGGTCGCCCCAGGACCGGAAAGTTCCATTAATCGCGAGTATTACGCGCAGAACAACGAGAAGGCAATCGAAGAGGGACGTGGTGCCATCGAAGAATACGAAAAGACAGACGACAAGGCTCGCGAGCTTTTGCGACGCCTTGCAAACAGTGAACCATACTACCGGAAGCCCCGGCGAATTGAAACAAATGCCGAGGAAGACAAAGTGGAGGAGGATACGGCGACGGATCAACCACGAATGAACAGCCGCTATGGAAATGGGCCCGGACCGGTTCGCACTAGTGAAAGCCGTGTCGGGAACCGCCTACCAGGCCGTGGAGGACGAGGTGGTGGCCGTGGTGGCCGCCCATTCCCCAGTACCACCCAGTTGCCGCCTTCGGCTGCAGACATTCTTCCCCTGCGGATCCCAACGTCACTTCCTTGTTTATTACAGGCGTGGAAGATGATCTTCCTGAACATGCGCTCCGCACATTTTTCACCGAATTCGGCCAGCTCCGGTCGCTTATTTGCTCGCACCGCTCTCACTGTGCTTTCATCAACTATGTCAACCGCGCGGACGCCGAAACCGCCGCGAAGCACTGCCAAGGCAAGGCCATCATTCAAGGTTGCCCTCTGCGTGTTCGTTGGGGAAAGCCGAAGCCACTGGATAATTTGGACCGTGAGGAGAGAATGCAAAATGCCCGCGAGGGCCGCCAGACTGTGGGGTCGGTTGGCAAAGGTAAGCAAGCAGACCGACGAGCCATTACCTCTGCAGGCGAGGCTGCTGGCCAGGAGAAAGCCCAACCTCATGTCGTTGCACCGCCACCTGGATCGGGTGAGGTCCACTACGCCAGCATGAATGGTGATTGAACAAAACTTGCGCGGAGATACCATTAATAAAATTGAGGTTGCATGTAACTTAGGGTTGGGAGCGGGCGTTATCAAGGATTGGATTGTTCTATGCAGATCTATGTACTTCAATCAAAATACCCCGAAGACGCCAATGAATGAAAGAGTCGGGTATCTTATAATACATGTCCGGTCACCCCGTCGTAGCCTGTTTTACTGTTCCATATGCCATCGGTTTGAATAGGCTCGCAGACTGGCTTCGACGTTCTTCAGTGTCGTTTTTGGACTTTGAGTTGACCCGGAGAGTGCGCTCAGATTCAACTGAGCATCTTGCCAGGGAGAATCATGACGAGCAAGCCTTATGAATCTTCACATCCAGATTGCCGACTTTGATAGAGTCGTTATCACCGCGTTCGATCTGGTCGTGGATATTGAGTTCTGTAGAAACAATCGCTCGTTAGTAAACAGTTTGTATGGGCACTATCAATACTAAGCCATGAAGTAGAATCATGGCATTAATGAAAAACATACCCCACTTAGCAGTTTCGTCTCCCTGCTCCCTGGAGCCTTGGACGATGTTGTGGCGCAGGATATTTGCAACCTCGATCGCATGGTTAATTTGCATTCCAGTGTCCACAGCGGGGCGACGGTTCTTCTCAAAGTTCTGGCGCGCTTCCTGGCGCGCTGCGATGAGGACCGGGAGATCATCTATAGCGGACGTCAGTATGAGAGTAAAGATGCCTCAGTGGCTGTTGTGCTTGTCAAACGAACTGTGGAAGACAACCCGGGTAGACCGGAGGAGTTGCCGATAGGCACTCTTAGCGGCAGCAGCAGTGGAGGTGGTCATGGTGAAAAGCAGAATGTCACAGATAAGTATAGACGTGAATGTATTTAGGAACAGGGCGAGAAGCACAGGTTGTTGTCACTGCGGATGATTGGCACGGACAAGGAGGTCGGATGAAGCTATAGGTGATACTGCAAATATGATGTAGGAGTTCCAATCTTCTGAAAAAGAACGCAGATAGAGCTGACCAGAAAATTTGGATGTACAACTCAATAGAAGATGCAAGGCCTGGTGCCATCGCCAATCTCGAAACTCCAGAACATCTAACCCGTGATTGGCTAGAGGGGCGGATATTTGGGGCAGAAAAAAAAGGTATGCAAAAAATTCCATCGCGGGACCCAACGCTCTCCACACACAACTTGGTACCATCACCAATACCGTTATACAATGGCTGCTGCTCAAGTTGTTGACATTTCCCTCCCTACCTTGCCTCAGGGCTGGGCTGGCGAGAAGGATTTCAAGATCGTCGGTGCTTTGTCCGGTGCCACCAAGCGCACCGTGGAGCCCGTTGGCCCGCACTTCCTGGCTCACGCTCGCCGAGTAAGTTACCCAATTCACTCATTTCTTTGTTCCATGAAAGTTAATGACCTTTTAGTCTCGTCACAACCGTACTTTCTCTGAGGACGAGCGCCTCCAGGCCCAGAACAATGTCAAGAAGACTGAGACTGAGGAGGATGATGATATCTCTGAAGATGAGGACCCTATGATGCTTGCCCGTGAGGCCAAGGACTGGAAGGTCAGTAATATAACATTTATCCTATTTGGCTACTTTCTAACCCATCACAGGGCCAGGATCACTACGCCGTTTTGGGTTTGAAGAAGTACCGCTGGCGCGCAACCCCCGAGCAGATCAAGCGGGCTCACCGCAAGAAGGTCCTGCGTCACCACCCTGACAAGAAGGCTGCCCAGGGTAAGAGCGATGAGAACGACAGCTTCTTCAAGTGTATTCAGAAGGCTACCGATCTGCTTCTCGACCCCACTCGTCGTCGCCAGTTCGATTCCGTCGATGAGAACGCCGACGTTGAGGCCCCTACCAAGAAACTCACTGGTAGCAAGTTCTACAAGGCCTGGAACCCCGTTTTCGTTGCCGAGGGTCGCTTCTCCAACAAGCAGCCTGTTCCCACACTCGGAGACGAGGACAGCACCCAGGAGCATGTCGAAACTTTCTACAACTTCTGGTACAACTTTGACAGCTGGAGGACTTTCGAGTACCTCGATGAGGATGTGCCCGATGATGGAGAGAGCCGTGACCAGAAGCGTCATGTCGAGAAGAAGAACGCCAACGCCCGCCGCAAGCGCAAGACTGAGGACACCGTCCGTCTGCGTGAGCTCGTCGACGAATGTCTCGCTTCCGATGAGCGTATTAAGAAGTTCCGCCAGCAGGCTCGTGCCGGCAAGGACGCTAAGCGCCTCGCCAAGGAGGAGGAGATCCGCCGTCTCAAGGAAGAGAAGGAGAAGGCCAAGGCCGCTGAGGAGCAGCGCAAGAAGGACGCTGAGGAGGCCGCCAAGGCTGACCGTGAGAAGGCCAAGAAGGCCAAGGAGGCCGCTAAGAACGCTTCGAAGAAGAACAAGCGTATCCTCAAGGGTTCCGTCAAGGATGTCAACTACTTCGCCGCCGGTGAGCCCACTGCTGCTGATATCGACGGTGTCCTCACCGATGTCGACCTCATCATGGGCAAGATCGATGTCGATGAGCTTGCCGCTCTGGCCGAGAAGCTCACCATTGCCGGTACCGACAGTGCTGCGGTCAAGACCGCTTGGTCTGGCGAGGCTCAGCGCCTTGTTGATGCGGGCAAGCTGAAGGCCGGCGAGGCCAAGGTTTTCGTTTAAATATTCTTGTCTATTAGATAGATGAGGGGTAGCCTATATGCCTAGGCTTTCCTGATCATGACTATTCACGCCACATAGAGTAGAAAAATGGATGGTGCTCTTGTCTAAGCGCAGTATAATATCTATCCTTCGTAGTTCTTGCCTTCCTCCTCGATTTCGCACTCCCCGCTGGTCAGAACCATTGGACTGGGGACTACAGGCTAAGTCCAACTTCCAAGATTACTGCATTCAGCCAACTGCATATCTGACCACTCCCAGCCACGTGATTGGTCATGGATCGAATAGTGCCTCACTTTCTGATACTTGGTTTCTAGGCCCATGTTCCCGTTGGGGTCTCAAAGAGGCGGTCTTCGCGGACGCGATGGATGTTTGTGGTGAGGGTAAGTATGTTTAAAAGTGATCCCGAATAATTCCAGCCTTCTAACTAGTGGAGGCACTTAGATCGAAGAGAACCCAGTCTCCGGAAGATTACACGAGTCGCCAAAGACAGATTGCTTAAATATGGACCCTCCCAAGATATAGAGATTGAAGCTGAGAATATGCGCTATGTCTCCGAAAACACGACCATCCCGATTCCCCACGTTCACGAGACTCAAAACCATGATGGCGGCGTTAAGTCCATCTTAATGGACTATATCGAAGGCCAGACTCTGCAAGATGCCTGGTCCAACATGATCCCATCACAAAAGATGTCTATTGCGGAGGAATTACATGGATATATACGGCAACTACAAGGGCTAAAACACGAGCATCCGAGACATTCCAGTCGTAAGAGTATATTCACGCGGCGCCCAGTTTACCTCGACGAGTATTTATTTTCGAGATTGACTATCTCAGTCCCGGATCTCGTGCAAAATTATATGGGAATTAACCGGGCCGACGATAATATGGTCTTCACGCACGGTGACCTGGCACCGAGGAACATCCTGGTTGACGACCATGGTCATGTCACTGCAGTATTGGACTGGGAGCTGGCAGGCTGGCACCCTGAATGGGTTGAAACTGTTAGAGCGTACACTTTTTGCAACGATATTCCTGGCTGGACTGCCTATTTATCGGCTGTTTTCCCGCCGAATCATGCAACGGAGTATACGGCTGTGGCATTCGCTAGACATATGACACGATGAATTGGATGCGATATATGTATTTTGCTAGACCACCTTCGAAAGCGACCGCCTCATCCTTTTCTCATGCACGTCCGGCATTCCATACCCCCGACTGGAGCAGGCCTGTTCACAAAAAGAGACACGAAGAATGATCGAGAAGAGACCTTAAAATGGATGCTGGATTGAACCAATCTGAGAGCGTCGGGATATTCTTCGGTACCTGAAGGAGACCTAAAAGGCTATGTGGGAGTTATTATGAAAATCGCCGATTTTAATGATACTACTTCGGCTTGTATGTAGATCGAGGATGAGCCCAGTAATCAAAGCGTTGACCCGGGGACCCGCTAGAACATATGTTACTCTTAGCTTTTAATATGCTCCGAGATAATGTAATCCTAACCACAGACAAACAATATGTCAACCGCGGTATTTCGCTAACCTTCATGATTAGTGATCGAATCTGCACGCCCAGGTGAAAGCCGAGGCGTGGACTGACATATAAGCTATCAACATATCTCAGCAAATAGCGAAGTAAACTGCAATCTACTTTATATCTTGTGATCACAATGATTTTCGACCCAGACACTATCGACATTCCGAAGTCTTACGAGACGCTCCCGTTGAAGGATGTCAAAGTATCCCATCACCCGGCTGGTGCACCTGAAGCTACCCCTGTTATTGTGGTGACGCTGAACCGACCGGAAAAGCACAATTCGTTCACTCTAGAGATGATGCATGTGTTCGAGAAGATATACCCTATGTTTGATGTTGACGAACGTGTCAAAGTTATGGTACTTACCGGTGCTGGTAAAATGTTCTGTGCTGGTGCGGATCTTGAGCGAGGCTTCAGCGGAATGGAGAAGGAGAGAAACAAGGATCACCGCGATAGGTAAGATAACGAAACTCCAGCCTATTGCCCATGTGATAATTCCGTTAACATGGATATCAATAGCGGCGGCCGGCTCGCCTTAGCCATCCACCGCTGTCGCAAGCCTACTATAGCGGCCATGCAGGGCTCTGCTGTTGGTTTGGGCATGACAATGTCTCTGCCGGCTGCCATACGCATTGGCTGCCAGAAATCCAAGTATGGATTTGTCTTCCCGCGACGGGGTCTGACGATGGAATCAAGCTCTTCATTCTTTCTCCCGCGGTTAATTGGTTACTCCAATGCTCTTTACTTAATCACAACTGGCGGCACCTTTCCGCCTACTTCGCCGCATTTTGGGACGTTGTTCCAGGAGACCTACCCTGATCCAAACCAGGTAGTCACGCGTGCGTTGGAGCTTGCTACGGAAGTTGCAGAGAGTGTTAGCCCAATGGCATCATATCTTTCGCGGGAGCTCATGTGGCGGAACCCAGGGAGTGCCGAGGAGACTCACCTAATTGATTCGGCGGTGTTATACCATATGTTTAGTGGGAAGTATGCTTTCTCCGTATCGACTCATCAAACCTTCCGGGAAAGGTGCGCACGATAAGAAGCTATACTGACCGTGTCATAGGGACTCAAAGGAAGGCATCAAAGCATTCTTCCAAAAGCGGAAACCAAATTTCAACGCAACTCTTGAGGATGATGCACCGCCTAGCTTTCCTTGGTGGTCTGACGTTGATACCGGGAGGCGTCCGAAGGCGAGCAAGGCGAAATTGTAGGAAAGGGCCGCTGCCGTCCACCATCCCAGAATGTGCACGAGAAACGAGCGACAACGAGGAACAAGTTACTGTAACAAGACTGAAACGAGATTCTAAGGTCTCTTGGTACAGCCAACGCAAGGACTTGTATATATCTCGAGAAAGCAAGCGGGTCAAGGATGCGGCGGAGCACTTTTTAGCCTGAGACAAAGTTGAAACCGAATCTGACAGCCGCTCTTTACGGTCTCCACAATTCCAGTTCCATCTAGCTATATCCACCTCCTTGCATAGGTAACAACTTTCATTCCCAAGTCCTAGAAAGCTTTAGCAGTTCGTAGGCATCGAACTGATCGGGGCCACACCAGACGAAGGCGGCCATCACGACAATATCAACAAGCGAAACACAACCGTTTGATATATGAGTGATGAGTAATCATAATTTGATGTGAAAGCTTTTAAAGAATGAATTGCTAATTCTTTATGAACTCTGCCATGGCCTCCTTCCCATCACTTGAGATCCGGACGCGGTCCTGAACACAGAAGTCGACGATGGCATTGGATGCAGAGACACCGGGTCCTGGAGATTGCCATCTCGCTGAACAGAGCGCTCTTTAATCCAAGGCCGGAGGTTGAAAATAGCACCGCAAATAAATATACCCACCCAAAGTGTCAATTCAGTTCCATAGATGACTAGGCCAAGAACATCAATAGGCGATCCAAACACTGCTTGGATATTAGCCATTGAGCATCTCTACCTGACGATGAAGTTGACCTACAAACAGAGAGGATTGAAAACAAGTCCCCAGCAGCATCAATTCCAACAAATATGAAGCTGATTCCTCGAACGGTCTGGTGGACATAAATATCCCAGTAATGCCTCAGTACACCTGCTGCAAGTAAACATGCACTCAAAACTGCCATCACAATGAGAGGCCACTCCAATCCATGGCTTTTTGCGGCTTGCAAGGCAAATATGAGTCCAGCTTCAATGCCGCCCAACAGCAACAGAAGCGAAGTGACTGCGACACAGCATTTCATAACTCGGTATTTCTGAGTCTGGATGAGTATGATGAGGATCGTATTAGATACAAAGAAAAATGTTTACCTTTCCATAGTAGAGACACTGTGCCCAAGTAAGGAGGCTAAGTGTCGTCAGGATTTGGGGCTGAATCCGTAGGGCAATGTTGAATTCTTCCACAATGTTGTACACGCCAAGGGGAACCCCTGCTACAGCCCACAAGAGCATCATTGACCCTTGTAGCCCTTCGGTGTCATGTCTCCTGTAATTTATGATTATTTGAGGAAGAAGCTGTACGAGAGATTAGCGTGTGCTTAGAATTAGTTGGCACACAGCAACCTCATACTTGGATAGACCAGCAAACCTAGAAAGAATAAGATGAATTAGTTCATCCTACCAAATCGGGAAAATGGTACTCACTGCGCCTAGAGTACCGAGAACATTCTCTGCGATTTTATTGTCCATCTATAAAAGGCTTTGTCGTCGGAGTGAAGGACTGAGAACGACATCTGATAAGGATGTATTTGTGACACGTGAAGGTGGGCCTGTTTGTCCACTTCTCATTGGCTTAATATTATGGACTGCGCTCGATCAAAGTTTGTATCTTATTGTTCCTACGTAGTTGAGTGAGATTGCTTGTATCATTGACCGGCAATATGCTACAGTACTCCTTTTTCAAAGAAAGGCCAGTATCCAGTGTTCTGCGAACATGACCCATCTTATGTCTCATACCCAGATTCTACAAATCCCCAATATCCGGGAGGACTTTAGCGATGTGTGAGATCGAGGAAAAGTATAAGTGATAACTTGAAAGGAAAAAGAAAGGAAGAAAGAGAAAGGAAGTTCAATTTTAAACTGTCCCTATCTGTTTGATTTGATAGAAGGTCGTGCGCAAGATGGAGTGGAGGGTCACGTTGATAATTAGACCCTGAAAGCGTCGAAGTTGAAGGATGGTCGGAATTTGAATCCGGTCAGTAATAAGTAGTGAAACGTTCAACCCAAAGATCAGCAAATTTAGTGAGTACAGAGTAAACAACATTTCTGTTGTGCAACAACTATGTTGAAGCTAGGGGCTAGGGTATTTGGAACATTTACTACGGAGTATATTGCACAAGTTACCAGGTAAAGATTTACAAAGATGAGATTAAACGGTGCGGGAACCATGGATATGTCAAAATGGAAGATTCCATTTCGCTGCCGATCCGATAAGCTCTTAATTTCTTTTTTTGTCTATCCTCCCGCTCTGCCCCGTCGGCTGAAATGTCCGCATGGTCGCCACCTGTGCCACCTTATTTTTGGATATCCAGCCACTGCTTTTAAACCAAGTTGCAGTTCGAAATAGGACGAATATTAGCAGAGAAACTGACACCAAGTATGATTGTCTGGATCCTTTTGGGAAGAGTACGTACGCATCTGCGTAAGACGGATGCCCCAGCCCCTCCACCATACCCGAATAGGACTAAATGATCACCGACTCGGGATGATATCATTTAGGAAAACCCGTTGTCGGGGTTTTCCACATTGTGTACGGAGTACATGTACGAAGACGGAGGGTGAATTCCTAGAAGATCTGTTGTATTATTTTTTTTTATGTATGTATATGCATGGGTTCGGCCAAAATTGAAGTATACGTGTGGGTGTGGACGTAATCGATGCTTGGCATCTTGAAGACATTATTATTTCTCCCTTTTAAAAAAGGAAATTCCTAATCTTGAAATGGTGGGTCCATAATAAATTGTGGACTTTCCCCTGTCCGTCTTTCTGGACCCTTAAGAACTAGACCACCCTCCTCTGTTCTACTTGCGCTTCTACCTAGGTCCAATTGTCTAGCTCAAGTACGCCCACCCTCTACATTCGTTCTACAGTCGTTCCGACGGCACCATGGTCTCTACTCTTCGCCTCTGCCTCCTGGCTGTGACTCTATTCTTCAACTTCTCCTCTGCATTCCCCCTCATCAGTCGCGAGGTTCAATGGTCCTTCACCCTCTTCCCGTCACCCTCGTGTAACGGAACTATCGGTGATCCTCACGTCGGATCTGGCAGCACAGGCTGTCGCGCCGACCTCCACAGCGTTGCCTCCGCCTACACGCTGAACTCTATCGCCGAAGGCTGCCGCATCGAGTTGTTCGATAACACCATGTGCGACCAGAGCGAACTCTCTGATGTCGCCAGCCAAGCCAATGCCACTCAAACTTGCCGCATAGCTGGAACACGACGCCGCTACGGTTCATACCAGGTCACCTGCGCCTGAACATCTTCAAACATCTTTTCGAATCCCACTGTTTGAAACAGTCAAGGGTCTCTGGCGGGTTCCAAGATCCTACAACCAATTTGTTCGAAGTCCGCTGCAAGATCGATTGGGATCCCTCGGTGGGAGAGCATTTATATAGACTTTTTAATGATACCCTTAGATTAAATGAAATGAGTTTACGGTCTTGAATATTTTCAGCCTTTCAACCTTTCGCTTTTTTCCTGCTGCTTGCTCGTCGACGGGGTCTCAGTTGACGGTGATCGCCGGTCTGTGTTTTCTGGTATCTGATATCGGGCGGCTGGTGCCGATGCCGATGCAAGCTGACCGAATCAGCTTGATGAAACACGGACGCGTAATGGCGGGTAGCCTGATGCATGAGGGATCATTTTCCATGCGACACGCTGGGATAACAAAACCGTTAATGAAATACTTTAATTGCCCAGGTGGGAAGATTGACACTTCCAAGGTTGGAAACCATTGGAAGCAAACTAAGCACACGCCCGCTCTCTCTCACTTTCTCTCTCACTCTCACTTCCCTCATTATGGGGAAACGGTGGGCCCGAGCTGGGGAGTCAGAGGGTGATACTTTCCCGGGGACCTCGCACCAGCGCTTTTGAGGGAAGGCACTATAGACCAGGCCCCCCTCGGCCAGCGAGCCTGTGGAGCTTCTGAGACCGTCAACGCACCGCCTTCATCTACGCTTCAAAGCCTCCACTACCACAACCTATGGTAAAGGACGCCACCCACACACCGCGCTAAGATCCCCCGGCGACTTCCAATCCAACCGACGCACCCACGCCTGCCATATGGCGTGACAAGCCCTCACCATCTACACATAGGCTGTATGATGCCGTCCGTCCACACGTTTCGTCCCAGCCATTCGCGGAAATTACCGCGGCTATAGCTACGCGAGACAGAGACCACGATGCGCCCAACGCAGCACGTCACGATGGCGCAGCTCCCATTTACAGACCCTGTCGTCACTTAAGCTGTTTCGTACTACAAGAATGTTAGCATAGAAACTGCTTGTGACCTGCTAGCACGACCATTACCCATACTTACTGAAGAGAATCAGACTTCACAATACATCAAACTTTAGGGCAAATATTTCGCCAGATTATTCCATGAGACCGAGTTTACTTCCGACGGTGTACGTGTCATCAGTGACATCTGTGCACGGAACAAGCCCATTAAGATCAAGGGGTTGAATTGTGTGACGAACTCGCCCTTGAAGGAGGTTCGGTTCGTTCACCGTGCGGTTCGATATGCATGTCTGCGACGCTGTCGTTCTAGCGTGCAAGTCCGCCGGGCGTACTTCACAATTCGGAAATCGGCAAGCCGCGCTTCCTCTGTCCGACGTGATTACTGATGTCGTTCCCATCCAATCTAGCCAATATTGGATAACCATCCTACCGATCGAGCTGAAGACATTCTGGACTGTCAGGGTTGGTACCTGTCAAATCGGCCCTCATTGGTCGAGTATCAGCCCGCTGCAGTCTCATCTCGGCCAACTCGTCGAACAGATGAGAGATAACAACGCCGTCTATGGTATATTGTCGACATGTATACATACCGTGTTTCTCAAGAGGGTCGACGATGCATTATGGCGGCCACTATCCTCGCCGTTCAAAACACCGAGTACCTGGTATCTCCCGGCCTTGATCCAAAAATGCTGCAAAATGATACGGCGGCCAAGCCTCGGCACGCAATTCGCCCTATCGACACTATTCTACCTCTGACAGTTCCCCCGCGAGTAGTCGAATTATTCCGCCAAGATTCAGCGTTACAACCCAAACAATCCTTTTCGGCAGCCACAACCCCGTTGCAATAGACTCAGTCGGAGTCATCAAGTCTATCCGAGTTACCAAGGCAAAGGCAATCTTCGATGTCCTTTAGCACGGACAGCCCGCAGTGGCCAAGTGTTGGTCGACGTCTGAATCCCAAAACTATTGGAACGAGGTGACAACCTACGAGGCCCTCTATGAGAAGCGCAGGGTGTAATTTCTTCCCTTCACCGTACGCAACAGGCCTGATCCGTTACTCTTCCTTATTCCCGATAACTATATATTGGTCCTCCCCAAAGTGAAGGGAGAGCCATTACACAGGAGGTGGGCGGATGCATCTGCTCAACGGAAAGAGTTCGTCTATCAACAGGGTTCGACTGCTATTCATGTTCTTTGAGCTGTGGGAATTGTCTAGACGAACCCTGGCACGCACAACGTGCTTTACCACGACGACGACCACGATCCTTCTGTGTCTGTAGTCGACTTTGAATGCATCGAGCTATGCAATGGGAGGAAGTCATGCACCGACCCGAGATGACAGTGATCTTTGGCCCTGAGGTCGTACAACAAAGAGATTCGCGACGATACTTGGGAGGCTCGGTAAGTGCCATTGTCAGATGGCAACCAATATGTGGCACTTCGCCCGAACACCTACCTGTTGTTGCTCTCCGTCGCTGCACGCGGACGCTCTATTCCATTGGCTACGTCAAGCACTTGCCCAACCAGTCCTGCGTATATGGACGCCGAGCGCTGCGGCCAGCGATATACCACGAAGGACACTTACGCCTCTTCCATTTGTCATGTTGTTTCGTTTCTTTGCATTGCGTCATTTTCTTTATTTCAACATGTAGGTACTACTACGACTGGTTGAGGTTGACCACAAGCAAGGCGTCGGCAGATGTGGCCCTTGAGGTTCCATAAGGTCCTATAATTCCTGTCCATAGCCGGGTCTCGACTCCCGTCCTAATCCATTATCTTTCCTTCCCTTGCTGTTGATGTCCATGACGTTATGATACATAGTTTCCAGACGTATATATTGCTCCAACACTCTTGTATATATTTAGAGCGTGGCTACAGGTTTATATTATTAGACAAAACTCTACACATTGGTATGTGTTCATTTGCCAGAATTTCTCACATTCTTGGTCGGAGTTAAGGTAGCGACTTTCCGAGAATGGATAAACCCCGAGGAATACTACAACGCCGCAAGCGGAATGGAATACTCTCGCACATAGTTGTTAAACTTTTAATATTGTCTAATCGCATTTTTCATAGTCCGTGTCCCCTGCAAGCTGTTCAGTTATGACAGTCAAAGTCGAGGTATTGGACGGTGATACTAGCCCACCAGCGGCTGTATCATTCTTTGATCCATCTATCAAGGAGGTTCGAGAGCGGGTGTTCTACCAATGGGCGCGCACTTGTAAGGAAATGATTAAAAATCTGGGAACTCACTGGATGCAAGGGAAATGGCAAACTAATAGAGATCATTAGTGCTAATTCTGTGCGTCTTCGTGTTCGGTGTGCTATCTCTCTTCTGGGGAGCCCAATACGGCACTGAGGCCAAGTACCCAGCGTTGAAGGTATGGATTGTCGATTTCGACGGCCAAGTTGTTCCATACAGCTCCAACGACACCATAGTTGGTTCAACAGTTACGGATGTTACCAAAAGAATCCTACAGTCTGACGGCTTCCACCTCGGCTACACTATTAAATCCCCTGCCGACTTCAACTACGACCCTTTGGCCGTGCGTCAGGGTGTTTACGATGAACACGCCTATGCCGCTGTGATAGTCAAGCCCAACGCAACAGCGCTGCTCCGAGATGCAATCTCTAATGGCAATGCGACCTACGATCCGACCGGTGCCATCGAGACAGTAATTATCTCCGCGCGCCATGAAACAACATATTACACCTATATCCTACCCGACCTAGCCAACCTACAGGGAATGGTGCTAGCAGAGTTTGGCCCGAAATGGGTCCGATCTCTCGTCTCATCCGTCGGCAATTTATCAACCGTGCCCCCGCAGGCGATCAACCCGGCCATTGGGTTTACGACCGTCGACCTCCGTCCTTTTGGCCCGGCTGTCACTGCGCCTGCAGTGACCATCGGTTTGATCTATTTGATCATTATTGCGTTCTTTAACTTCCCCTTCATGATGCCTATTCATGACCAGTTCATGAAATCAAATGGCCATCCGCCACTAAAGGTGCCACATTGGCTCATTTGGCGAATTCTCTCGAGCATCGTGGCTTACTTCTTTCTTTCGCTGTTCTACTCACTCGTGTCTCTGGCTTTCAAGATCCCATTCAGCAATGACTCTGCGTCGAATGTTCTGTCCGCAAAGAATCCCAATGCCTATGGCCGTGGCTCGTTTGTTGTGTTTTGGATGCTGAACTGGGTTGGCATGGCTGCTTTGGGATTCCCCTGCGAGAACATGGCTATGGTCCTTGGGTTCCCATGGAGTTCTTTGTTCCTCATTTTTTGGGTTATTACGAATGTTGCGACAGGTTTCTATGACCTTGACTTGGCCCCGAAGTTCTATAGATGGGGGATGCATGGCCCCTACATCGAAGTAAGCGTTCCCCTCGTCATGGCCGCGATGCTCTGTTGCTGACAACCAAACTTTATCTTCTAGTCGTCGACGCTCTACGAACCATTATCTTTGATATCCATTCGCGAATCGGACTGGACTTTGCTATTCTGTTCATTTGGATTGCAATATCCTTGGCCTTTTATCCATTTGCGGCCTTCATCATGCGGTGGAAGACGAAGCGGGGGATGTAAAGCAGGAATAGAATAGGGAGTGAGCAGGCAGTGAATATACAATTAACAGGTAGGAATAGTCTGGGCAGCCTCTAGCGGCCAGTGCGCCACAGATTTCGCCTGCAGTGCTAGTAGTATAGTTTTTAATATCATTACTGTAATTCAATACTCCCATACCCACATGCATCATTCTGTAGGTATGCATCAACCTTCCTAACTACCTGGCTTTTCACTGTGAAGGCCACCTAAACACATAAAGGAACAAGTTCAACTTAGGTGTCGTGTATAGGCCCCGTACTATGCCAGTCTTAATGTTAGAAGTAGTACAGCATTGTACCGCTAGAGCATAGCAAAAATCAAGGTATATATCTGTTCAAGGGCTATGGAAGGTACATGTACCTAGGTAGATTTGTGAGTATTACCAATCAATGTAAAACTGGAGCATTCTGAACTAATAGAAGGTCAGGTTTGACAACCCCAACTGCCAGCCCACGATCTGGATACTATCTACATATCCATGGATGTACGTAGTATATTCTTCTTTGACACTAATGCATACATGTCAGGTGAAAGATCTACATGGCCAGGTGCACGTTCTTGCCCCAGTTCAGCCCTAAAATGCTTCTTTCTCTAGAGGTACATCTTCCACCCGCGACTTTCTCCGCCATCAAGATGTCACTCAAGAGCATCGCGAAATCCTTACCTATATCCTTTTGTGGTACGCGTACCTTGATACGCGTTTGATTCAGTACTTGCATCCAGATATTGAGACGCACGTGCTCTCCTACAGGTACTTGCTAGCCCTATCAATATGGCGCAGGGCCTAAGTACCTTCGCTCCTATAGACAGAGCTGATGAATAGATCAATGTACCTATTATTGACCGCCACAGCATTGATACTTTGTCTACTACATATTTATTGTAATATTTTGTGTCTTTCCTTCTTCTTCTTTCCTTCTTCTTCTTTCCTTCTTCTTCCTCCTCCTTTCACCCAAACCGAGCATCTCGCATTGGCAGACTACAATTTCGCTGTGATATGCTCTGATCTTATTTCTATTTGTATCCCATCGTTCACCTTCTATCATCGATCTGTCGAAATGGATACTATCAACCCTCACCGGCAGGCCTTCTTGGCCATCAGAGAGCGCGCTGCAATGGACCCTGATTATCATTTCCGTCACAATCCCCATGAGCGTCGTCGTCGCGCCCTTGCTAAGCTGGACGAAGCTCCCTTTGGCTGGGCACATATTCACACCGTTATCATCACCGGCCTTGGCCTCTTCGCCAGCGCCTATGAGATGTTCGCCCTCAACCTGGCTGTCACCATGCTCGGGATTGTTTATTGGCAAGGTCAAGACTCTGGTTCTGGTACGATTCCTTTCGGCCTGGAGGCTGTCATCAAGATTGCCACTCTCGCTGGTGCTGCGGTCGGACAGCTCCTCCTCGGTTGGCTCGCAGACCGTATTGGCCGCAGACGTGTGTACGGCTATGGACTGACGGTCATTATCCTTACTACTCTGGCTCAGGCTATGTCCTCTTCCTCTCGTGCCCTTACTATGTCTGGTATTTTAATATTCTGGCGGATAATCATGGGCGTTGGAATCGGTGGCGTCTATCCTCTTTCTTCTGTGATAACTTCAGAGTAAGTTCTTTTGTTTCCACGAAAAGACAGCAGCTGACTTAACAGGTTTGCTCCCACTAAGTGGCGTGGTGCCATGATGAGTGCCGTCTTTGCCATGCAAGGTTTCGGCCAATTTGCAGCCGCCATAATCTCCCTGATTGTCACGGTTAGTTTCAAGGAGTCCCTGGAGAGTGCCAAGGACGTTGCTCACTGCACCGGGGCTTGCCAGCTCGCTGTCGACAAGATGTGGCGTTGGACCATCGGAATAGGGGCCATCCCCGCCTGTTTTGCACTCTATTACCGTCTGGCCATTCCTGAGACGCCTCGGTTTACCTTCGACATCTCCCGCGATATCATTAAGGCAGATAAGGATGTTCGCAGCTACTTGAGGAAACGGAGGGAGAACGGCACAAGGGAGCCAGTGTACACCCCTCCGATTCAGATTGGTACCCCTGACTTTGGTCCCAAGGCGAGCTGGTCCGATTTCTACGGTCGCTACTCTCAGTGGAAACATGGGAAAGTTCTACTAGGTGCAGCAGCGTCCTTTTTCTTTCTCGATATTGGTAAGTCCACAGAAGTCCTCAGAAGTCCTCAATCCTGCAAGGAAGCTAACATTGTATCAGCATTTTACGGTCTTGATCTGAATAACTCGATCATCCTTGGCGCTATCAACTGGACTGGTGCGAAAAATGTTTACGAAATCCTCTACCGCAATGCTGTCGGAAACCTTATCTTGATCTGCGCTGGTGCCATTCCTGGATACTTGGTTACCATCGCCACTGTTGACAAGATCGGACGCATCCGTATTCAACTCCTGGGGTTCCTCATACTGTCTGCCCTTTTCGCCGTGATTGGCCTTGCTAATCTGGACCAAAATGACAGCGGTCTGCTGGCTCTTTACGTCTTGACACAATTCTGCTTCAACTTCGGCCCCAATGCAACCACATTCATCGTGCCCGGCGAGTGCTTCCCCACACGCTACCGCGGCACTGCCCATGGAGTCAGTGAAGCCGTCGGCAAGATTGGTGCCATTATGGCGCAGTGTGTCTTTGTTCCTCTTGTTTACCGGGGCGCAAAGGCTCCTGGCGATGCACCCTGGCTCGATCATGTTATGCAAATCTTCTCTGGGTTCATGATTTGCGGGTTTGCAGCTACCTTCTTCATCCACGAGACGAAGCGCCGGAGTCTGGAGGTGCTTTGTGGAGAGATGGATCCGCCTCCTCGAACCCAGCATGCATACGTCAGGGAGGAAATCCCACTTCGAGAAGTTGGGCCTGCCCCGTCTGTTTCCGCCGCCCCAAGACCTTAGGGGTCTTGCATGGCGTTATGTTAGGTTTTAGATTTAGCTCTCTTTGAGATAGCTTTTAGCTATCTCTCAAATAACTATTCAATTCGTCTCACATCTGACCATGTAATAAGACGTAGCCCTCTCAGTAGGCTGTTTTTTGTCAGCTTCTGAGCTCTCATTCTTTCATCTCTCATCTCTCTCTATTGATATCCACTGTATTTCTTGATTTCATCCCCTGTCTCCATTCACCATTTCTTGACTTCATCCTCAATATCCGCCACCAAGCTCTTGCATCTGATTACATACTCTTTCTACCCTCAATTAGGAAATCCAAGGCTTTGAATAGTCAATTCCATATGGGCCGACTCGGTTCCACGATACGACTCGTTGTCGGCCTACTCTAGACCGACCCAGATTCGTATAGCCACCTCTGAAAAGCAAGGATCAACTCAACTTTCTATCCAAATGTACTGTAAGGGGTCTGCGGTGGAAGCTTTGAGGAGCCCAGGGTCCGAATCCGTTCTAGTCATTGCTGACGAGGCTAAGTTCACCTCATGATCACTGCTCTTAAACGCGCTCTCAACACCCACAACCTCAGCCCTGCGACATCGCTACCGACAGATACCTAAGCTAGATACCATGAGTGCCGTTTATACGCCACATAAACTTGTAGGTGATGCAGTAGCCAGTGTGATACATGACTAGAGCATTGTGATATAGTCCTTGAAGCAAATCTCAGTATATGTCCCTCAAACTGGTGCAGGTACAGGCTCAAACTAGAAAGCCTTCGTGGTATGCTAAATTATGTGAGAGGATAGTCCCGAGTGGAACATACTCTATGCACAGCAATTGAACCTTCCAGTGCTTATTATGGGACTCTGCGGTTGATAATAACCTTAAAAAGATCCATCTCGAATAATTTTCAATGTTGTTTGCTTCTCCGCGAGACGCTGTCACTACAACACGTCTCACATTGGAAGTCTCTGCAAACTTTTCAAGCTCTACTCATTGTTTACTCCTACCTACCAGAGACAATTCACCATGGCACGCATGGTCACATCTCCTTGTCCAGGAGATAACGTTACGGTCACGAAGCCAACGGACCTCGTTAACCAGGAAAACCCCCACCACGCGAGCCCCAGTACCAGCCAGAGCGCATTCGAACACATCGCGTCTCCAGGACAATCGACCGATGTAGCAACCGAAGACTTCGAAATCGCCTCCGCACTGAAGCTCGTCGCCATCTCAGTGACTCAGCAGCGCCGCCTCGCCGCAAAATCCCTCGTCCTCCACCCGACCACCCTAACCCTGGTAGCCCTGGGTTTCGCTTACAGTGTCGGTGCCGTTTCCCGTGACCCATCTGGCTGGCCCTACATTTTTGTTATCTGTACCACCGCGGTATTGGCCACTCTAGGCATTGTCATACGCTTGCTTGGGAGATATAACGATGAAGCAGAGAAGGTTGGAACAATGAACTGGCTGTACGGATACGACCCTAGCAAGGATGTCGGCGGTACCACGACTCAGGAAGACCCCGTCTTCAACTCGGATAGTGGAGTCACGTTTGTACTTGTTCATCGATTCGGAGGTCGCATTGTCGGCACACTTGTTATGAGCATCGTGTACAACGGCATCGAACCCCACCCGAAAATCAACGCGAGGTCTCTCCCAAAGGGCGAAAACTACGACGCCTTTATACGTGCCTGGACAGTCCAACAAGGCTTCCGTGGCTATGGAGTTGGCGCTGAGCTCCTCAACGAAGCTGTCATGATCTGCTATGAGCATAAGTGGAAAGGACTCCGGTTCGCAGACTCCCATGCCAACTCACTTCGCGTCTTTCCCTGCATCTTGAATTGTGACATGGATCAAGGATCCGCTATGTGGAGCTCGTATCTGCGTAAGCGGGTTGAGGCTCATCGTCAATCCCGTGCTGTTCTGGAGGCTCGAATTGTCGATATGTCCCTGCATGGGAATGATAGTAAAACCCCGATGATCGATACACAGACGCGGTTGATTTGTACCCAGGTGAAACTAGAGGAGTTGATCCGAAGTTACTTCAACGTGCGCCTTGAAAAGGCAGTTCAAGCTCAGGCTCGATGGAAGAAAATCTCGTAATTGGTCACGTTTCGACATTGGCTTGCTGTTTCTGGGTGTGTTAACTACCAGGAGTTCAGGCGCTTCTATGTTGAGGGTTCATGCTATGCTATTGTTATCTATCTCCATAGGTGACTCTTGTATCGGGTATTCCACTTGATATTCTCACGAGTAAGGGTGGGCTCATTCTTATTTACAGGGAGAACTTGGCTAACTAAATACGCAGGTCGTTTACATCGTCCATTCTGTTGTCCCTCAGATCGAATGAGCTTTCCAAATATGTAACCTGTTAGCCGAATTAAAGTACCTCCTCGTTACTTCAGACATTAACAAAATGCCACCCACGATTTTAGAACAGGACTGGATTGATCATTGCATATATACCCTCGATTTCCAGGCCTGTGGCAATTCATTCATTGTTCTTATACATCAGCGAAGGATATTAGTATTCCTAGGCTCGATTGTCTAGCCACGGATCCTTAAGCAGCTGCTTGGCTGTCTTTCTGTCCTCTGGTCGCCATTGAAGCATTCCCCTCATGAACTTTAGAAACATCTCTTTGTTTCTTCCATTCAGACGCTCCTCGGACTTTTCTAATGACATCTCCCCTGGTACCTTGACCTCATTCTTCCAATGCCCTATCAAACATATCCTGCGTCAGAACGATACAATAGAATGGTTTTAGTCATCAGGCATCGCATACCGTATTTAGTGAAGAATTCGTCACTTCGGCCCGCACGCTTGAGCAAATCCGAAGGAGGATGCCCCAGTATTCCAATTACTTCAGCTAGGTGCATACGGGTGGAATAACCCTTTTCATCGGGGTCAAATCCAAGAAACATGTGTTTACCTTGAAACAAATCCCATACCTGGTATTTTTCATAGGCTTAGCGACGTAAATATAGACATGTATAAAAGGAGCGAACAGACCATAACGCCAACATTCCAAATATCAACTGGATAGCTCCACTCAATTTTCAACATGACTTCTGGTGATCTGTAGATGGTGGGCTGGGCATCATGGTTCCTCTTCTCGTCACCCCGTACAGCTGAACCAAAGTCGCTAAGAACTGCCCTACCAGGCTCTTGGGGTAACTCAAATTGTCGGGAGGCGTAGATTGGCATATTATTAACTGATTTCCGAGCCGAAGGATGCTCTATCTCGGTATCAGTAAACCTGTCGAGTATTGACATCTCTTCAAGTTCCTGGAGAATGTTGTCGCTCTTGATATCTAAAAGTATTCGTTAGTCGCGTGGTTAATAACGATAGAGAATCCGCCCGACAATAACAAAGAATATTTACTCACCGGTATGCACAAGCTGGCATTCTGTGTGAAGATAATCAAGCGCAAGAAAGATCTGCCTAAGTCCGCTCTTAAGAAGATCATCGCTAAGCCTATGTGCCGGGCTGCGATATATTAAATGCCGAAAGCTCCCCCACATAGGCTTTTGGGCAAGACAGTGATGCTCGCTCTCCTGATGCCCGCTCCCTTGATTCCGGATCGTGAATGCATCTAATGCAGTCCTCACATGGACATAGCCTGGGTGTGATCTGTCCCCTTGATTCAGAGCTTGGGAAGTCTGAATCTCCCCTTGGCCAGTTCCACCCCTGGTGTACACTTTCAATGTGACATATTGACGATTTCTGACTGTATCAGCATATTTTCGCTTCTAATGGGACTCAATGGGACTTGGCTTACTCGAGATCACGAGCGAGCCATACTGTGGAAGTTGTTCCGAAGCCCAGCTTGCCGAGTACCTGGTATTTGGATACTAAGATGTCACCAATAGTGACAGGATAGTAGTGCCCTTTCTTGAACTCTCGATAGCGCTCTTCTTCGAGAATTTGTGACGGCTTGATTACTTCGAACCCACTTGTTGGAAACCGAAGCACGGAGGAGGGATCTCTTTTTATAACTGTCCTGGCCCACTTGAGGAGCGAAGTCATAGTCATGAACGGTATGAAGAAATGGAGAAAACTGGAAGGTTATGCGGGCCGTTGCTCCGGTGTTCTAAAGCACCAAATCTTCAGTTGTCTTTAGGAAGACGATGATATATCGACAGAGGAAAGAAAAGGTCAGGTGACTATCCCACTCTTAACCTTTGGCTGTCAGGGATGTCTTCTCTTACTGTTCTTTCTGCATGATATAAATCTTGGCCTCATCAGGCAACATCCGGAATGGCCCAAGTCATAGCGAGTCGAAATCCCGAAATTGATATGGCGGACCAAGGTGATATCACTATTATGTAGGTACTATGGTTTCGATGAAGTGACAGAGAACGGATATTTTAGTTGGCCTAGTGGGATTTCCTTAGAATCTACCTTTTAAAAAACAAGCCCGTTTCTTTCATCAACTGCAGCTTCTCTCTGGCTGTGAGGGAGCTGGTCTTACCTACAGGCTACCAACAGGCAGTGCGTCCCAATCTCCCAATTAGCTAGCTTGAAGTCCTTGGTCTCGTTAACGAACCGCCGACTTGTGCCATTAGACAAATTTCTCAAAATGAACAGCGAGAATCGTAGAATTCCTCGCGTCCGTAGCGGTAAGGTGACAAAAATATATATCTAGATAGTTGCCGAACCATGAATTTTCGGAATAATGACCCCACCATCTTTCTCAGATATAGGCCAGTTCAAACCAACATTCCAAGCTTAGAAGGATTGCATGAAGGAAGGTATTAACAACCTACCACATAAATATAGGGACAAAGCCAAACCTGAAATTCAGCCGGATGAAACCGGATTCCGAAACGCCTCCGCTCAAAAAACGCCCAAGACCATTTGATTTGGAAGAAAATCCACCCAAATCAAAGAATGACGAGCATTATCATAATAAAAAACACCATTCTCCGTACACCTGGTGTGTTAAGCGTCATATTAGGCCTTGAAGGCGCCTTTTTCCTAGCCAATGCCGTCTATACCTTGCATATCACCTCCCCGGCTGCCCTCTGGCTGGAGTTCCTAGTCATTCAGTCGAATACCTGGGCTGAGCCTTGAATGTTTTACTTGACTTGTATGGGGCAAGCGAATGCTGCAGCAGTTACATGGGACGTATTCATATACGAACAGGACGTATATACTAGTGGCTTACTTGTGAAAGTCCCGCTCAGAGAGAAGGATATGAGCATTCCAATATTGAGAACTACAATATAAACGTTGCTATTCCACTTCCATAGGCTATATAAACCTACGCCGGGATTTCTAGATTGTACGGGCCGAGGCCAAGCAGATGTTTAATATCGCCGGAGTTAGCCACAAGACCGAAGTGGAGAAAAGCCATAAGCCCAAGCGTCTGGACAGCCTTGAATGTACAGCAGCCACCAAAAGCTAGGCCTCCCACAGTTCACAAGCGACCGATCAATGTCCGGCAAGAACCCGAGACATCTCCTAACATGGCTTTTTTTTGAATCAATTCCGGGGATTCTGGAGAAAACATAATATGACATAACTTCCCTTTTATCCACGTACCGATATATACCTTGATGTATATACCATTGCCGGCTAATCCTGGGGTTTGACATTCGGTGCTGACCGGCAGCACGACCACCCGCCCGAAGCCGATTCGTACAGGAATCAAATGGTAGGGTGGCTCGAGGTCATTTGTTATGAAGACCAGGGTTAAACCGGCTAAATCAAAGCAATTCAACCGGTACGGAAAGTATTTCGGATGTGGGGAAGTTGACTTCAGCTCAAATCAGACGGCTTTTGCCTCGGAAATTTCGCGGCACTCTCGTCTTGGGTATCGAGATAAAGAAGTGCATGTATACAACTTCCAGTATATCAAATAAGAGTTGGATGTTGGAACTTTTGATGAATCTCCAGATTTTGAAATGCGCGGGGTCCCCGGAATGTCTCCATCCAGTGGAGCTTTTCCGAATCCTTTCCCCAGCGGCAGATGCCGACTCAGAAAATCCATGGATCAGAATTCTAAGCATATGTTTTCAGCCGGGAATTGATATGGCAGGCTAGTACTATACCGTGGTCTTCTGTTCCGGCCATTTTATCCATCCGTTTCAAGGTCTTTGGCTAAGGGCACCGGTTAAATCCTGCGACCTCGCAATCCCGCACGGCCCAATGTTATTGCAGCCACTGACAGCTTTGCAGAGTCACGCTAGTCCAGCCTTTTCCGTCTCACAGCCGATACGACCTGCCCACACGGCTTGAGGAGAAGGGAGGCCACGCGCCACGAAGCTTGGTTATGATGGGCTGATTGGGCCAATTACCTCATGTTTTCAGGTTCGCACTTGATCATGTCCACTCCCATACCCCCATGGGGCTAAGTTCCCGGGGAAATCTGGACGTTTTGAGCTCATTATCCGTAGCCGAGCGAATAAATACTCGCAGATCCCCTGTTGAGACGTAAGGAAAGTGCAGGCATTTCTTCGATATTTGCCATACTCTTTTTATTTTCGCTTCTACCGGAAGTTGGCTTGCTTTGTATCATCCATCCTTGTTGGCTTTTGTCGTGATATACAATGGTGGCTCCTCTTGCGGGAGAGACGGCCATCTCGGCCAAACGTGCTGAGCTCTCAGGGAAAAACGGGTTCAAGGGGTTGCTCAGTAACAAGAAGACAACATGTATCGGACTTTTCGCGTCACTAGGAGGCCTGGTTTATGGATGTATGTCGACGATGCGATGCCATGTCAATGCCCTCGTGAATATAAACTGATAGCCGTCATACAGACAACCAGGGAATGTTCGCTCAAGTCCTGACAATGCCGGCGTTCCAGGCAGCGGTATGTTTCCTGCTCATTGAACCCACGACTTGCACTGCTAATGGCTTTTCCCACAGAGACCCAAGACTACGCGAAAGAAACGGGTATTAAGCAGGGAATGCTCACGTCTATCCTCGAACTGGGTGCTTGGGTGGGGACATTGGCAAACGGATATCTCGCCGATGCGCTCGGTCGTCGTCTGACCGTTTTGGTTGCCGTGGTGGTTTTCTGTGTTGGTGTCGTTGTTCAAGCTTGTACGGAGAGCAAAGACTTTGTCTTCGCAGGTCGATTCGTCACTGGTCTGGGTGTTGGTAGTCTGAGTATGGTTGTGCCACTGTACAATGCAGAGTTGGTGAGTGAATGCAATGAGTTTCGACAAGAGAAAAGGAGGCTAACGAATAGGGAAGGCACCACCTGAGATTCGTGGCTCGCTTGTCGCTGTACAGCAACTCGCCATCACCTTTGGAATCATGGTCAGCTTTTGGGTACGTCATTTCTGTTCTCGTGAAATCTCTCAATCCTGACGTTTGCAGATCGGCTATGGAACAAATTATATTGGTGGAACTGGGCCAACACAATCGGATGCTGCATGGCTGATCCCAGTCTGCATTCAAATCCTGCCCGCTGTTATCTTGGCTGTGGGCATGATGATGTTTATGCCACAGTCCCCCCCGTCACCTGATGAACACTGGCCGCGAGGAAGAATGCCTACAAACACTGGCCCGCTTGCGTAACGCACCTCCGGATGATATACTTGTTCGCATCGAGTTCCTTGAAATCAAGAGTCTGTACCTCTTTGAGCGAGAAACTGCAGCCGAGAAGTATCCCGACTGGCAGGACGACTCGTTTTCCAGCCGCTTCAAGATCGGAGTACATGATTACATGTCGTTGATCACTGACAAGTCTCTCTTCAAGCGCACGGCCACAGCGGTACGTTTCATGTCTGTGGTACTCCATGAATAGTGCTAATGATATCACAGTGCATGATTATGGTGTTCCAACAATGGAATGGTAGGCTATGCGAAATCCTGAGAATTGAATTGATCACTAACACCATTACCTAGGCATCAATGCAATCAACTACTACGCGTAAGTCCCTGCAAATCCAACCTTGAAGAGGAATCTATGGAAGAAACATCATTCTTCCCCACTGGCGAGTTATCTGCTGACACTTCCGCAGACCATTCATCTTCAAGGAAATGCACCTAGGCGGCAACACAATCTCACTCCTCGCCACCGGTGTTGTTGGAATCTTCGAGTTCGTCTTCACCATTCCTGCCGTCCTGTGGGTTGACAAGATTGGGCGAAAGAAGATCTTGATTGCTGGTGCAATTGGAATGGCGTCCTGCCACTTCATTGTCGCGGGTATCATTGGGGCGTACCAGGGAAAGTTCCAAGACCACACAGCTGCTGGCTGGGTGGCTATTGTCTTTGTTTGGATTTTCATCATCAACTTCGCCTACTCATGGGGTATGTACGAATTCCTTGCGTTGTGGTAGACTGTGCTGACCATCGTTGGACTACAGGACCTGTTGCTTGGATTGTCACTTCCGAGGTATTCCCGCTCAGCATGCGTGCTAAAGGAGTCAGTATGGGTGGTAGCAGTAACTGGGTAAGTGGCAAGATAGACAGTCGAGTTTGTTGGAAATCTCTAACTGGATACTCTGCAGTTGAACAACTTCGCAGTCGGTACTGCTACATCTCCTTTCCTCCAAACGAGCAACTTTGGTGCATTCATCTTCTTCGGATGCATCACAACGATTGCTGTGTTCTATGTCATCTTCCTTGTACCCGAAACCAAAGGTCGCACTCTTGAGGAGATGGACGAGTTGTTCGGATCGGTCGGGTTGGCGGCTGCTGATAGTGGACGCAAGCACCGAATCGAACGTGAGATTGGGTTGCTTGCCCTTGTCGGTGTGGAGCCTGCCGATGAGAAGCACACCGAGGCTGGTGTGGATGAGAGCAAGGTCGAGGTCTCGAAGTACGAGGATGTGTCTAGCCCGAGGAATTAAAGGCCAAGTTCTCCTAAACCTGGGGGTATCTTGACAGGACGAACGATTCAGGGCAAGATCGACAAGAGGTCCACATATTAGATACTGAATCATATATCTTCAGTTCCTGTACGGAGTACCATAATATATGTAACCCTTGAGGCTTTTCCCTCCTTACCTGTATGCAAATTTGGAAATGCATAACACTTATCACATGTATCTGGTCGCATAAAGCAGAAGAAC